ATAACTTTGGTTTTCCGATTTCCATAAACTTATGATACATTCATTCATATTCATATTGTTGTAACAACAACTTTATTACACATACATAGACAGCCTTACTCGCATAGATCGGGTATCTTATGCATTTAACAATATTTTTTGTATATATACATAAAAATGAATTTAGAAGTTTGGTATTGTTCATGATGTATAGCGGATCAGTTGTTGCTGCTTAGTTTTAGGGAATGGATTCGGTTAGAGTAAAGACTTCAGAACCGGTTTCACGCATTATCTTCCGTTTCTCCTATAGCAGTAGACATAACATGTCCCGACAGCGTCCAGTTTCGATAGTTGAGTTACAATATGTCTGTCATCCCCATATTAAAATTTTATTATTTTATTATTTTTATTTTATTTTTCTCTCATTCTTATCAACATATTATAATAATACATATTTGAAGTATTTAATATTTTACTTGAAATTAAGTAAAAATATAATTATTTATAATGTTAGTCTTTTCAGAGCGAATCAAACTTAAAAAAAAAAACTCTTAATTCTTATCATTCTTGTACTCATTCTCCTTTTCTCAATAGGGTAGATTTTTTCATTTTGATATTGGTTTTCCTTTTTACTTGCATTTAATACAATATTTATTCTTCATTAAAGGTTTAAAGATACTCCATCCGTCCCAGATACCATGTCCACGTTGCCGTCCGTCTCACATACCATGTCACTTTCCTTTTTTGAAAAATGATTACACACTTTAATCTCATTTTAAATTTTTTAATTTTAATTAAACTAATTAGTTATCTTAATCTTAATTTATAATTATTTATATTATAGGATAATTATTTTCACTAATACATTCTTAATTATCTACTAATTACACTCCTCCTAAAATACCGTCTCTACAGTGTAGCAGACACGGTATATGGGACGGAGGGAGTATTATATTGAGCGAGCTATGGTGCTAAATTTATGATTGGGCACCAAGCTAAATAAACTTTAGTCATTAGATGATAATAAAGATTAATGGATGAGATTAATTTTGTCGATAAAAATATTATTTTATCATTCACATTAACTATTTGATTTCACCATTTATAGATTTAAATCAACCATTACAAGTATATAAAATATATGATTATACAAATTATTTTTCATTTGGTGTGGGAATCATTTGACACAAATACACACACAAAAAAATTTAATTAGTATCTCAAAATCACCAAATCGAAGAAATTTTTTTCAAAAATGGTAAGAAATATACAATGCTATATAATAATATATGACATATTTCGAAATGGTAACAATGAAGATTATAATAAGAGAACTTCAAACTCTCATAAATTTTTATTTTGAAGAAAAATTTGTAAATATTTTTATGCCACATCATGTATCGATTATGTTGACAACATTGTAAAAAGCATAAAATAGCATTTTTATATCAAACATTCAACATATTATTATTTTTTATTTCGTGGAAGATTAAAAATGATATTTTGATATGACTATTTTCAAAATTTATAATGTACTACGATATTTTATACTTATTTTTTTCTCATCCTTAAAAATGTCTTAACTGTTAGTTTTGAAAAAAAAAAAAAATGGACGGGCATTATTTTATAAAAAATATCTATATATTTATATTGATCCGAAACCATCACCACTTAATATCAAGCATACAATTTATTATACATATTTAGGATCATTCAATTTGTTGTTGGAAAATTTATGTCATTACGCATTCACATAGTTTTGTTTGTTCACTCGATTTTGTAAACTCCATAGCATGCCAATCTATAAACTCTGCACATATGGAACGCTAGATTCTATTAATCAAAATGCTGACCACCATATTTCTATATGCTTTAAGATAAATGGCAAAATGTTGATATCTGTATCAAATACAATCACATATCATGCTGGTAATTAAAATGAGATATTGTTATCTTCCTATGGAAATACTTACTTGAACGGTATGCTACATTTTAGTTTTAGTAATAGTTTGAAAGCTCTGATTGAATTACGAATGCTAAAGATTATTTACGAAATTCCAAACCGCTAAACAGACTCGCGTAATTTCAATGAGATCAATCACAGAAGGTTATGATGTTCACGATTTCAAGTCAATTATCAATGGATAACTTACGCGATTGAGCGATTTCTCGTTCCAACGCATCTGGTATTGGCGAAGGCGCTGGTTCATCTGAAATTGCAAACTCTTCGATGTCTCCATTACTTGCTGAGCGATTGAATGTGGTTGAAATAATGGATAACTGATTATGCTCACCTTTGTCGATATCAGCCATTGAAGAATGAAGGAGAGTGAAGAATGAAGGATGTCGTTTCTCCCCCACCCATTGCTGCGTGAAAGAACAATGGAGGGCGAGGTTTGATGTAATTACATAAATTGGGGTTTTTAAAATTACAATTACATCCTTAATCTAATATTAGCCATTGGATTAAAAAATTTAATACAATGGCTAATATGCAATTAGCATAATGCTGATAATTAATTTTCAACATGCAATCTCACCCATATATATATATATATTACAAAGATATAATATATTCTTTCCGTCCAGCTAAAAATATCTAAAAATATATTTTTTTATTTTGGAACATTCAATTACTATTACTAAGCATTTTATTAAATATATCACTTTTTCACAAATACCCCTACTTTACATCACATCATTACTTTTACACCAAAAATCAAGGACAAAAATGTAATTATACTACTTTCAACTATCCACTGTAGTTAAAATACTACTCCCTCCGTCCCAAACACCGTGCAACATTTGTGTTTGACACGAGAATTTAGGTGGGGAGTATTGAGTATGGTAATTTGAGATATTTGTATATTAAGTGATGTGATTTGAGAGATAAATGATTTTTTTTTTTTTTATTTGAGTGATGTGATTTGAGAGATAAATGATTTTTTTTTTATTTGAGTGATGTGATGGGATAAAGCCGAAGTGTATATTAATATATGTATATAAATATTATTAATTATTTCTAAATTTGAAAATATTGCAGTGAGTTTGGGACCAACAAAAAAGAAAATGTTGCATGGTGTTTGGGACGGAGGGAATATTATTTTTTAAGCACCACGCCAAAAGTAAATATTACTTTCTATATGGACAGAGGAAGTAATATATATATATATATATTTACAGAATATATACTATATTCAATCACAGAAATTCAATAATTCACAAAATATTATTTTTTTATTACCGATATTATTCTTCATACCTAAAATAAAAAGTATATTCATTGACAAACACATAACACACTCTAGTTTTTGCATAAATTTTAATAACATAGGAATGAATTTCAATAAAAATTAAGTGATTGAATTATCAAGAATGTGTTTGGTTTGTTAATCAATAGTTGAATGTGGGGTATGAAAAAAGAGAAACTGTGTAATTTTATAAGGAATCTTCAGCATAACAAAGAAATTGAAAAAAAAAAAAAAAACACTTCGAAAAATAGATATACGTAATATAAACAAGCCATAGCATCTTATACTCACATTTTATTGTCACCAGCCGTAGCTCTTTGTTCTAAACGGTACGTCAGCATCGTTTTCGCACTACATAATCAATATTAAAATAATAAATATATAAACCACAATATATTTTTCATTAAAACAAATTCAAATTCAAATTCAAATTCGAACACAGTACAAAATACAAAAACAAACCCTTATTGTTTTCGCGATACATAATTTATGTTAAAATAATAAATAATGTGTATTTAACTGTGATTTCAAATCAAAATAACATTATTCAGTTTGCATCCCTGAAATAAAAATTAATTATTTTTCTTGTAAAATATTATATTTGTAAACACCCAAATAATTAATTGAACTGGCCCAGTAGAGGTTTGCGATCCAATATGCGGCCCAGAGTCTGCCCTACTTAGCCCATAGGTTTGCGATCCAATATGCTGCCCAGAGTCTGCCCTACTTAGCCCATTGTTCAAGAAGATCCATTGCAATTTATGGATGGTAGCTTAGAATAATTATGGATAAGATCTTCTACAAACATGATTCAAAAGAAATAAAAGCACAGGAAGAACACGCCATTCATCCATTCATCTTCTTCTTCTTTAATTTTGTTTCTCGCCATTACTTCTTCTCTATTTTTTCTAGATTTTTTTCAGTGTTTCTTTAAATTAATTTATAACTTCCTTATTCTTTTTCCAGTTTTGTTCTTATTTATTCTGATTTCTTTTTACATTAATTTTTCGATCATCAGCAGATAGCCTGGATCTTGAAGCCGAAAATCCTACGAACAAATCAATTCCGACAGGTTTTTCCGACTAAGCCGTCGGTAGCGATTTTTTACGACAACAATATTAAAATACTATTTAATAAAATATCAAATCGACACCACATTTCAAATCAAATTAACACACTCCAAAACACAAAAGCAAACCTTTTTTTAATCGAATTGAAAATTGAATACATGTCCCGTAAGTGAACTTATGACCGGGAGGTCATGGGTTCAAACCCGATGTCTCTAGGTCCACCTGCCACACATGGTTCACCGACTTGCCTGTCGGGCCTAATTTGCAGGCACTTTCCGCGGATTCCCACAATTAAAAAAATAAATAAATAAAAGATTGAATACATGAAAAACATCATAGTACTACCATATTCATGTTTCATTAGTTTCACTTATTCATATAAAAAAAACCATATCCTATATTGAATAATGAATGATTCATGCACGAAGAACTCCCGATGCTTCAAGCTGTCATATGAAATCTTTTATTTTTCTTTCAAATTTCTTATAATTATCACCCTTACACATATGGAATCAAGTTTAAGCTTTCCAATAAAACAAGTAATCTCTCTCTCTATTCCTAGTTTTCTAAGGTGAAGACAGACAACTAATTTGTACAGGAATATAACAGTACATGAAAGGCATGTTGTTACCTGGTTTCTGTTCACCACTGATCCAGTCTCTCGAAAGACCATTGTTATTTCACTTGTTCACCACCAGCCAATCGATTCTTTTCTTCCTCAACTTGTTCGAGCAATGCTTCTATCTCTGCTTCCGTCAAGCTCTCCAGCCTTTTCTGTTGCAACGGATTTTCAGCTTTTATACTTCGAAATTCAATCTTTCAAATCGAGATACAGAAACTTAAGAAACAAGGGAACAGCTACTTTAAGTGAGCAGTTGTGTGCAAAACTTGCACTCAAGTACAAACCAAATTCAATCTAAACTTGATTGAAGTACCATATGTTGTCAATTTTTTGTGTGATCTGGATTTATTCAAGATTCAAGGGATATTGTGTTCAACTATAATACAAATTAAGAGGTTCATGCTCGTATAAATTGAAATGATATCGAGTCAATCAGTGAGACAGTACCCGAAAGCTAAATGGACTCTTACGGACATGTCTCGAATGAAAATCCATGTCCATTCAAAAGTAGGCGCATCCATTCATTAAAGGCTGCACCGTTAACACTAAAAGCTACTTCCCTGTTTTAAATTTAGATTCTTGGTCATTTTCAAAGTAAGAACAAAAACATAATCTCGTTTTTAGACTCAATGTTCGACCAGAATTCTTGAGTGTAGATTGGATTATCCCAAAGTTAAATGCCTCTCAATCCAGTGGGGATGAGTTATAACTTTTGCAGGGTATGCATTACAGGATCCATTCGATTATCCAGTTAATTCGTCTGTATCCCTGTATTTCACAGATTCCCCAACACCCTTGCAGAAAAGGGACAAAATTTAGCTGGAATAAGTGAAAATAACAATGGTGGCGTGTGGAATTTGAAATTGAAGTACGGAATTCGGGTAGTTGCAAGTAGAAATTCCGTGAGTTAACACGACTGACCTGCATGACTTTGTCTTCATAGTCACGAAGCTGTTGGGCATAAGTCATTTCCTTATTTGAGACTCTGAAGATATAAGTAGAAATCCATCCTACAGTGAGCCCTAAAACCAGAACTAATTGAACAACATTCCCAGCCTGCAATGGATCGACTCCAAGATACTGCAAGAGATTCCAATAAAATGATTCAGTCTAGCAAAACAGATCATATGCTTGTATCATAACGAGCATTTGAGATTTTGCAATCTTCAAGCTCTGTATTACCAGTAGGAAAAGGACAACAAATGTAATTGTGAATAGTTCATATTCGAATGAAATTAAAAATAAAATGTTGTGAAGAATGAAGGGATACCTCCAATCCAGACTTCAGGCCAATTCCAACAACCGTAAGGCCAAGTCCAATTAGTAGAACATCCTTCCTTGTATATCCAAAAGGTATCTGCATTTCAAACATCCATTAAGCTGACAATTATGACATAGATATAAGAAAACAAAGTACTAAGATATAATGCAATGATACACACTAATCATTTCCTTAATTCCTCTGACAAACAAATCCTGATCGATGCTCGTCCGCCATGCTACAGTCACTTTTTCTTGTATGTACATTTTGACAATCTTGCAAATTTAGGATTGACAACATTGAAAATTTCAAACAGAACATGGATAAAAGAACTCACAATGCAAATGTCAGAAATTTAAAAATAAAACAGCTTCACTTTCACAAAGATTATAAACTACACTTACTGTTTAAAAAGGAGTGTCGAAACATACCTTCTCTTGGTTTGAGCTCTTGCCGTTGTCACTGCTTATGTTTGAGGGGCCACTGCATTTTGGAATTTTAGAGTGTAATGTCTTCGATAGAGAGGGGAAAAACACACCTTTGAGGAACGGGGAAATTCCTCGATTAGAAAAATGCCTAGAATAAGTTCCTGTAATTATAATTCAAAGATGTAAAACACATCTACTGAACTATAACATGTAAATTAAGGCAATGAAGACATTGACATAGCATTCTGTGAAATTTACGCTGTCAATGTAACTAAACAAGGTTCCATACACGTTTTCTAGCACCACCTAAAAACAATTTTCTCTAAAATGGTCAATAAACATTCCTCACACACATGTTTTATAAATTATCCATTGAGGAAATGTGTTTGAAAAGCTTGTATTGAACACAGAGTTCAAGTCGGAGTAGCATCGAATTAATGCCTCTAGCACAAAGAGAGAATATTCTTTGAAATGAAACACTAAAACTGATCATAAAAGCTCTTACAAAAAGTAAAAGTACGCCCAAATCATGTATGCACTATTCAGCTTCAAACTATGCTTGCATCAGTTCTTCGAAACAAAACCCAAAATACCTAAAATTGTTCATCAAAGGCATGCTTCCTATTTCTGTACACCAAATTATCCAAAAACAAAAGCACTTCCACTCAATATAAACATCAAGGGATTATCCAAGTAAACTTTGCTCATAATATTAAACGGCGCATCTTAAAACTGCAACTTAATCTCCAACAGCACCACACTCAATTCACTCGAGCTTTCCGCAGCAACTAGAGTTCAAAATCCAGAGCACTCAATAGTGCATAAAAATCGAAATTAAAAAGTAAAATCATTAAGTAAGTATCCATTCTCGGATCTCCGATCAGACCTTTCGTGAAACACCGAGCTCCCCTTGCACTGCGCTCTTGCGATGGCAAATCCGATAAGCCAATGAGAGAAATCGACCTGTTGAAAAAATATGTAGATGGCAAAGCAGCCATTGCTGCTACTTCTTCGAGGAGCAAGATAATGAATGGAGTTCAATTTTGTCTGGAGGATGTGAAGAGCGCAGAAATATCTTCCGACAGATACTCACCAGTTTGGCCGTTATCCGTTTTTACACCTCTGGTTTAATTTAAGTTGACCGTTTTTCCAATTTTGACCAAAATAGTTCCGTCGCGAGCGTAATTGTCACAATTTTTTATTTTCTTCCGTCCCATATAAATTTTTATTTTTATTTTAAAAAATTGATTATACATTTTAATTATATTTTAAATTTTAATTTTTTAATCTTAATTAAATTATTTAATTATCTTCTTTTAAATTTTTTACTAAATAATAATTATTTTTACTATATAGCTCTTAATTATCTACTAATTATATTTTACCTAAATTTTTGTATCTACGTTAACACGGACGGAGGGAGTATTTATTTTTATTTTCAACTTGTCTCTTTTTCCTATCAAATTACAGATACAAAAATTAAAAATATAATAATATTTTAATATAAATAGGGAATAGATAAAAAAATAAAATAAAGTATTACTCCATCCATCCATCGACCAGGTCTAGCTTATTTTTTGCATCATTATACTTAATATTAAAAATATCATTATGTTTGTATAATTTTTTTTACAAATTTCCTTCTATTAGTATTATAAGACACTAATTGAAGCATTTTTTGCAATTTTTCTTAATTTTTACTCGTTTTGATATAATAATTAATATTCAAAGATCAACACTAAAAAAAAACTAAATGAAACTCTTAGAACCGGACGAAGATAGTATTAAAATTTTATTAAATAATTAATAAAAAATAATGAAATATATATATAATAATAAAAAAAATTGGTTATTAATTATTAAAATAACGATAAATTGATTATTATGATTCTAAATAACTTATGGGCAATAAAAGAAAAATATAATAACATAATTTTTATGAATAAAATAGATTTTTTAGAATTTAATTTTAACTTTTTATTTTTTTACTATATTTTTTATAAGACTATTTTATTTGATAAACACTAGTATTCGACAAACAAAGCAACACAAATTTTATATTAATATAATACACATATAGCAAATAAGTTAATATCATACAACAATAATCCACTACGAGTGTGTTTGTTTGGGGATTTGGATTTTGAGTTGGGATTTGAATAATAAAAATTTTGAATTTGAATAGTTGTATGATGCTGTATAAATAGGAGTTGATGTGATGTTTTGAATATAAAATTGATTTTTTAGTATAATATAAAAAATGAAAAATAGGTGTTTGATTTGATATTTTTTGAGAAAAAAATTGAATGAATAGTGTAAATCCAATCCAATCTCCCAAACAAACAATATTTATTAATGAAAAATTGGGTTTGAGGTTTAGGCTTAGTTTGAGCTTAAGCTTGGGCTTGACTTAAAAATCAATTTTTCAAAAACTTTCTCTTCAAATTATCTGCAAATTAATTTTCTTCCCAAAATTCTTTGTAGAATTTCTATTTTGTCCGGAAGTATTTTTTTTTTTTTTTTAAAGTAATGTACTATTTATTTAATATTATAAATATTCTTTCAATTTATAATATATTACACAAATATTAGTACTTTTATATCATACAATACTAAAGGTAGTTTAGTCTTTTTTACCTTTATTTATACTTACATTTCAATATAAATACGAATATTTTTTAAAACTCTAGATATGAAACGGAGGGAGTATAATACTATTTTAATAGAGTTTTCAATTATGTAAATTATGTTCAAATTTGAATCTTTTTATTTGAAAGAATATTTAAAAAAATGTATACAGAAAATTACGACAAGTTTTAATATATAAAAATTTTATTTTTATTGTAGTAGTTTTATTTTTATTGTTTATGTATTTTTGTAATTAGCTATTATGTTATTCTTATTTTTTTTATAAAATAACTTTTTTGTGTACATTATTTTTAAAATTGATTTGATATAAATAAATTATAAGTATTATTTATAAAAAGATTAAATCAATATATAATTTAATATAAAAATAATTTGTGCATAGCACGGATTAAATACTAGTGTAAATTTATCTATTAATTTTAATATATATATATGCAATCCGGATATTTTCTTGATCTTATAATTTAGGAGGATTTTGAAAAAATCACCGACATCGGATAAAGATATTGATCAACGGTTGAGATTATATATAAGGGTAGATATGTAATTTGATTTGTATAATAAATAAAACAATTATTAATTTATGCATTAATCAAGAGAACACAAATATAGATAGATATTTGTCATGCTTATTATATGTTTCGGTTCAAAAAAGAAAAAAAAAAGAATTTCACATTATCTACCGACGTTGATCGAAGAAAAAATATAGTGAAGAACTAGGAGCGCATAACAAGATAGAACAAAATGATGCACATTCCAGTGAGTTCCCGTATGGCATAGACGAAAATAACATTCTAGAAAATACAGAATGCGGTAAGTTTTTCTATTTTTTATATATCGCTAAAGTAACCTACTGACAAATTTTTATTACATCATATTTCTATTTTTGGAACACTTTAAAGATACACACATCATAATCATATTATTCATTCAACATATCAGTAGTTGAACACAAAAATTATTGAATCAATGACCGAAATAGTGGGTGAATTGCATACTTCCAATAGTACAATGAGATACACTAAATTTATTCGAATTTTCGAACTCAATAGTTATGGTTTGCATGATTTTCTTGAGAGGATTTTAGATATGATCATTTTTTTTTTTTTTTTTGTAAAATTTATGTAAGTATTCACTTAAAAACGATAAATTTTATAATAAATTTTAATCAATTGCTCTGTGAAATCATATTTGAAACCGATAAGGTAAAGAGCATAATACCTTATTCAAATTTAAAAGTGTTGAATTATACTAATTTGCCTTTAAAATTATGGTCAACCTTCTAAAATGATGGAGAGTTAAAATAATCTCTAAATCAATTAAATCATATCCATTATTTTTTAATTATTTAAATGGCTAAAAAATATATAAAATATTTATCCAGTCATGCACTGTGTAAAAAAAAGAAAGAAAAGTAATTTAATTACTCAATATTCGCGACATCATAATACTATATTCTGTAAACTATATTACATTAAAATAAACAACATATTTTATAGCGTTGTATATAATTTGATTATTCAAGTGACGACTATTGGACTAATGCATTTTTTTCAAGCTCCAATTATGCAAGTCATATTGTAGATACTCACATACGAAGATTTGCCGTGCGAAAACAAATGAAAAAAAAAAGAAAAGAAAAAAAGTAATCATCATAATGTGCAATACATTCACTATTGCTGCAATAAAAAATGGTACATAAATAACAGTAAAGTTGACCCAATAATAATTGAACATATTCAGATGTTGGCGCTCCATCATAAAAAAGTGAAAAATATATCTAACATAGTCCATCGTTTAAACCTGACCAATACATTATAACTATGCAATATATAAATTATAAAATAAAATGTATCATAATTATACGTGCAACATTCCTATATTCAATTTATATCATTTATATCATATATATATATATATATCATATTTATTGAAGTTATATATTATACTAATAAATATAATTGTGAAGTATATATCTAATATAATTCATCATTTAAATATGGTCAATATATCATAACTTTTGCAATATATAAATCATAAATATGAACCATAATATGAAATAAAAGTATGCACAATAAGGTTTAGTATCATCAGTTTATCCTGAGTTAAATAACATATGTGTTATAAATATACATTGTACGTGTTCGAAGACCAACAAAAAAGTTTTTAGGAATAACTGTGCGGATGTTTTTTTTAAAAAAAGAGACTAATCAAGAATGCGCATTTACACACAATTACAATAAAAAAAATTATGCAATACTGAAAACACAACCACCAAATTTATTTATCGTTAACCAGCCGTACCTCTCCCCCTACTCCTACCTCACACGACCAGGAAAATCAAGAGCGGGGTCGGAAAATATATTAGATGACGGCTGGTGCGGCCAGAGATGTCGTATCGGCGGTCGTCAACTGCGGATGCGTAAATAGAAAATGAATCGAGGACGGAGGCGGCTAACGTGTTTCACAGTGTTGGACACTGCCAGAGATATCATCGGCTGCGATTGTCAAGTACATAGATGTAAATATAAAGGGAATCGAGGGCGGAGACGGCTAGCGTGTTTGACGGCGGCGGGGTCGTCAGTGGTCGCAAAATGCATGGTCGGTGGAGACAAGGTGACAGGCGGACGAGAAAGAGAATCTCTATTCGATAAAATTAAGGCTAGTAAATAAATAGGATGTGAGAATGCTAAAAGAATTATATAATTAATTATTATTTTATTTATAATAAATAATTCACGGATTAAAAAGATATATTATGATGTTCTTATAAGAACATCATTCCAGTAAATTATATAATGTATTTTATTTATGTATTGTAAAGACTATCATTTGTGATAACTGTATATATCTTTATATTTTGAAAATGTAGGATTTAAGAAAGTAATTATTGTAAATTTTTCTATTTTTAATTGGGATGGACTTTCCGAATATATAGCAAGTAGTTAAAATAATTAATTTTTTTAATCAAAGATCATTGATTTTTTTTTTTTTCTTTTAAATACTTAAAACAGCCCAGATTAAAATCCATGGAATGATACAAATAATTTTATGTTTATTTAGCTTTCAAACGACAAATTTCTATGGCTTAAACTTTGCATTTTTTTTTTTATAAAATATATATATATTTTCTTTTATAAAAATATTCATTATACATTATTTTTATATTAAATTCAAATTAATTTTTTTTAAACAAATCAAATAAACATATAAATATCAAATCACAATATAAAAGATTATCCACATCAAATTATCTCTAAAAAAATAAAATCAAGAACAACAAACCACCTTGATTAGTGGACTAAAATTCAATAATTTCCTTAAATCATTTTTTATTCAAAAAAAAAAAAAAAACTCGGCCAACTCCAAGTGCACCAAAATACAGTATCAATTGGCTGAAGCGCACAGCAGAAGACCAGAGATTTTAGAATGAAGAGATTTTTCAAGCCCATAGAGAAAGACGGTTCCTTCAAGAAACCTGCTCTCTCCTCTTCTTCTTCGCCGGCCAACGATTGCCAAACAGCCGCAGAAAATGTTCATGCGGCTGAAATTGAAGAGGCCTGCGAACCCTCTATGGGAGATCCTTCGAAATTCTTGACATGGAATGCCAACAGTTTGCTTTTACGAATCAAGAACAACTGGACCGAATTCTCGTCGTTTGTCCAGAACATGGACCCTGACGTCATTGCGATACAGGTAAGTTTGTTCAATTTTGCCGACATTGTTTGTTCTAGTTTGGTTTCTAGGTTTCTTGGGTTTAGATAGGCTGTTGTTATTTTAGGTTTTTGTTTTGGGAATTTGGCCAATTTGGAAACTTCGGAGGTAGTGGTGTATTTGCCTTTTGTCTTAATTGTGTGTATCGTGTTACCGTTGAAGGATTTAAACTGACATTTTGATTGTCTGTTGAATTTACACACTGATTTTTATTTGTGTTTTGATTGGCAGAATAGCTGTTATTGCTTGTCCAGTGATCTTGATGGAAGAGAGCAGAAAATGTATCATTAGTGTTTTGATTGAATCTTATTTGATTTTTTCGTATGCAAGCAAATGTGTATGGTTATGAAGGATTTCAGAAAACTGATGTGGCATGGCAGTGTTCAGTATTTTTTAGATTTGAATCTTTTTAATAGTAATTATGTGTTTGATGCAATGTTTGTGAAAATAGGTTCGAAATCACGAACTTATGGATTGTTCCTTCTGTATGCTTTGTGATTATATATGATTGTTTCTATCCTACTTTTTGGTCTTTTTTTTGCTTTTCATATTCCATCTCATAGTGTCTTGATCTCTTATAAGAAACCTTGAATGAGCATTTGTGTACTCAATGGTGATAGGAAGTTCGAATGCCTGCTGCTGGTTCTAAAGGTGCGCCCAAAAATCCGAGGGATCTCAAAGATGATACAAGCTCCTCACGTGAGGAGAAGCAGGTGCTTTATATTCATGTTTGAAAATTTTGAAGACATTATAAGTTGATCTGCTATGAATATTGTAGCTTCATATATGCTCAACTATGAAAATCTGATTATGTGAAGATGCAATGTGTTGTTTGGGATCCGAACCAGAAAATTTAAATGGAATGATGTTTATGATGATGAACCCAAATGTATGAGTTCTATAATGAATCTGTTATGTTTGACTATACAGGTTGTGATGCGTGCTCTATCAAGTCTTCCATTTAAAAACTATAACGTGTGGTGGTCTTTATCAGATTCAAAGTATGCCGGAACTGCATTGTTTATAAAAAAGTGCTTCCAGCCGAAAAAGGTTTCTTTCTCACTTGACCAGACAGGTTTGTTTGAAACCCTTTTTATAGGGTCTTTCAATAGTAAGGGGGGTAGTTCATACTTTGGAACCGAATACTTTTTTATTTGATTTCAACAAAATGAGAAAAAATAAAGTGATAGAAAGACTTCTGGTTTCTTGATTACAATTAAGATTCTCTTTCTTGTGTACCTGAGCTAAAACTATTGTACGCTCCATCAAATATTAGAAAGAAATATTTTTTCTAGCAATTCATTCTTGTGGAATTTAACAGTAGGGCGAATTGATGTATGCATTATTTGGCTTTTAGATCACGTTGCTTAACACTTATTCATACAAATGGGGAATATTCCGATCATATTATTTCTTCCCTTTTAGGTTCCAAGCACGAACCAGATGGCCGGGTTATTCTGGCTGAATTTGAATCCTTCCGTCTGCTAAACACTTATGTCCCTAACAATGGATGGAAAGATGAGGAATCATCATTTCAGAGGAGAAGAAAGTGGGATAAGAGGATGCTCGAATTTGTTCTTAGAACTTCTGATAAGCCCCTTATCTGGTGTGGAGATCTTAATGTAAGGTATTTTTATTAACAGATTCTGCATTACCATATCGCCCTTTTGTCTGCTGCATTCCTCTTTATTCCCCCTGAATTGTTATATTTACGGTTCGGTTCTGGTGGTATGCCAAGAAGTATTGCGTCTTAGATCCTAGGTTTTGGTGGAGGCCTTCGTACCACCTACTATTTATAATATACATAATTACATTTCTACTACTTTGGTGCTGTAGAATGGATTTTGACACTAAACATAGTGTGAAAACTAAATGTGAAGATTTTTGTATGATGTAATGCGATAGACTGTTTCTGTCCTATGTAACGATGTACTCTTGCCAAAGAAATTGCAAAAGCATTTATTTGATTTATTTATATTTTTTGTGCACACTTAATAAATTAGACATCCTGTCCGTTTATCTCGGTAATTGTCACCTTCTGCAGCCATCAAGATATTGATGTAAGTCATCCAGAATTTTTCAGTGCAGCAAAGCTCAATGGCTATGTTCCACCTAACAAAGAGGTAATCCTTTATACTCTTTGCTATTTTAAATAACCGCAGTATGGATGTAGAGTAATAGTTCCAGTCATTGAAGAAGTTATCGACAAGCATGAATAAGGGCATTCTAATGTCAGATATGTTCCCTTGATGATCTTATTATAGATAACTGGTCGTATGGTTCACTGAAAGCTTACTCAGTGAGAAAGCAAAAAAAAAAAAGAGAGCATTTTAAAGTGGATTGATACTAACATCTGCCAAAAAACATGATGCAGGATTGCGGACAACCTGGATTCACAATATCTGAGAGGAAACGATTTGGTTCCATTCTAAAGGAGTACGTCTTATGAATCCAAACGGCTATTTATATAATTGTCTATAGTAATTCCCGTTGAATTTCATATTTTCTAGCCATGTTAACTACAAAGGATTAGGTAGGTAAATTATTCTTCAAAATTCACTATAATTACTCGTTTTTTTGAAGTAATTAGGACCCCTTACTTGAAATAGAGCTGGATAAAATTGAATCAGATCCTGTTGGAAAATATAAACTTTTGCTAGAATAATAAATTTGAGTTATAATTTCATTCAACAAGGTAAACTAGTCCATTTTCTTTCTTGCTTTGCTGAGATAGTGATTTATTACAACCTATGTTGCTATTGATTCTTTCAGTGAATCTGGTTCCTTATGATTCTATTTCAATAGTGAGCTAATTGTCCATAACCTTTGCATGACCTGCGAGTTAAATTGCGATAGGATCGGTTCATTAAAAAGAATCAATTCAATACATTTCTTATGTACCCATAGGTACTATATTGGATTTTTAAAAATGACAGCTTATTTTATAGTGCATATGCTTGAACATGGTCGACGTAGCTCAAACATTAATATCCATCATATCCCAGGGGAAAGCTTGTGGATGCGTATAGGAACCTGCACGAGGATAAAGACATGGAGAGTGGATTCTCTTGGTCCGGCAATCCTATTGGGAAGTAAGAGTTTGTTTAGAACATTTTTCAACATTATTTTTAAATGACATCATATATTTATTTTTTTATTTAATATATGAAATATACAATCTATTTTCTATTCGAAACATCATCACATTAGGTACCTATCTCTATTTACATCAAACAAATTTTCAATTCAAATTTTTTTACAAAGTACCGCAGCACAAAAACATAGTGGTTGGATATAAATCTTTTATGAGAATTAATTATGTACTTTTATGGGAAAACGTATTGATTGCTTAGTAAAAAAAAAAGAACTCAAAGAACAATCCCCAAGTTTTCGTAGATATTTGAAAAGATGAATCTTCTTCATATTGTAATTTCTATTGAAGAAATGAATCTTTGTTCCTCGTGAATCTTATTTTTGCAGGTATCGTGGTAAGAGGATGAGAATCGACTATTTCATTGTTTCAGAGAAGCTGAAAGAGAGAATCGTCGCTTGTGAAATCCATGGGAAAGGAATCGAGCTAGAAGGTAATGGTAGAGGTTTATGAAACTCTTGTATTGTGTGCTTAATGTGTGACATCGGGTTTGAACTATTACAGGTTTCTACGGCAGCGACCATTGCCCAGTATCTCTAGAACTCTCTGATGCAAGCCCGGTTCCCAACGGTAACTAACTTTGGTAAGCCACTGTTAAAAGGATACGGTACAAATTTCTTGGTAGGTAACCGTATTTATTCCAACATGCTCTCGATCTAGTGAATCGGTTGTCCATTAGCTGCAACTTTGTAGTACCTTTTGCTTAGCGCGCCCTCGAAGGATATGGAAATGAATTACTTATATGATGATGATCTTGTGAACATATGCGCGCATTTGAAGCATGCAGGGAAGTTCTTGTCGTCGGTAAAGCTGTTAAACAAATTAAATAGTTCGTGAGTTAAGTTCGACTCGGCTCGTTAACAGCTCGATTCGACTCGTTTATAGAGATAAACAAACCAAGTTTGAGTTCGTCTCGCGGACTCGCGTGTAGCTCAGCTATATTATTTATATATTCATAATTTTTTATATCAAGATTTATATTTACTAATAAAATATTTTTATGATAATAATTATGAATAAAATTAGATATATTTGGTTTATATATTAAAAAATACCCCTCTGTCCTTTGCGTGTCTATATTGTCATTTCTGTCCCTGTCTATTTTACATTTCAGGTCGCTTTTTTTTTTTTTGAAAAATTAACATTTTATTCTCATTTTAAATTTTATATATAGTAATTATTTTTAATTTTAATTAGACTAATTAGTTATTTTAATCTAAATCTATAATTATTTATAATATAAGATAATTATTTTTACTAATATATTCTTAATTATTTATTAATTATACTTATTATAAATTCTTATGTTTACGATAATCCGGGTATGCTAGGTGGGACGAACAGAGTATATAAAATATGCATAAAATTTAAGCTAAACTTGAGCTCGAGTTATTATTTTAGCTCAAATTTTTAACGAACCGAGCCAAATATGTAAGGTTAACAAATTTGAGTCGAATTCAAACAATGACATCTGAATTTGTTTAGCTCGTTTAACAAGAAGCAGAGGCTGTATTCGTGGGTTTTCAATAGAAGTTTTGAAGATTTATGTTTCTTCTTTTTTAAAAATAATAAAATATTTAATGAAAATTGGTGATCTAATAAGTGGCCGAGACGGAGTGCTCGGCTGGGGGCGGAAAAAAAAGAAAAAAAAAAGAAAAAAAAAAGAGTTATACGAATGAATTTACTAATTTTTATTAAGTTAATTCATTTTTTTTATGAATACTATTAAAAATATAATATGTATTAATAAATATACATAATATGTATTTTAATTATCCACAAAACGTTAGTAATTTAATATATATATATATATATATTTATCTAAGGTAACAAATACTATATTCATTCAAAATTCCAAGTAAAATTTTTGGTATAATGTGATATAAAGTAAAAATTGAAAACACCTTGTTGTTTTTGTTTGGAGTTTTGAATGTTTGAGTTTTGAATTAAAATTTATTATATAATATGATATAAATAAGTATTGATATAATATTTTGAATATAAAATTGAATTTTATATATATAAAAAAGTAAAAAATTAGGATTTAATTTGATATTTTTGAAAAAAAATTAATAAATAGTAAAAATTTATGTAAATCCACCAAAAGAGCACTATGTATTTTAAAATATTCTATTTTTTTTAAAATAAAATTGATTACTATATGATATAATAATTTAAATTATATAATTATATATAATTGCGTTGTATAATAAAAATATATATTATGAAATTGAAAAATATACAAATATAGAAATAAATTTATTACATTTTTATTCATTTATATATTAATACTAAACATATTTATTTTATTATTTTTATCATTTTGACTTACACTTAGCCTATAACCTATAGATTAAGCCCGTCGAATCTGGTTTGCAGGATATTAGGTTCGGACGGTTTACCCAGTGCGTGCTTTCGAGTAGCGGCTGCGGGTTTTCACGTCATAAAAAAAAAAAAGAAAAAAGGTAAGGGCGGAGCTGTCCCGTAAGGATGACTTGGTGGTGTGGGAGTTGGACATATAACGCCTAGTTTGCAGGGTATAGGTCCTACCTTGTAACTCAGAGCTGCTTTACGAGGGACTACCGTGTGCCAAGGCGCGGGCCTGCAGAAACCTTTCCAAAATGCTATGATGCAATTTCAAAATTCAAACTTTCAGAATATCAAACACTTACTATCCTAAATTGATAGTATTCATGCAAGATATTATAGCAATATTGTCGGGTTTTACGTTTTTTTTTTCACCGATTATAACCATATATCAAGGAAAAATAAAATTCAACCAACTTCATTTGTATCAAAGATCCAATACAGCAACAACACCCATTATAATATGTCAATTGTTCCGATATTTTTCATATTTCACTAATATTTTTTGCGTCTATGTCTTTAACCATCACATTTGAACTCTTCCCTCACATATATTTGGAAATAAATAGTTAGATGCAGGACAAAGAGTGCTAGAAAATATTTCTGTGTCTTGCTAAAAAAAAGTTTCATAAAACTCCTATTACATCCAAATATAATACTAATATAATATTAATATTTCTAAAACTCCGTGCAAAAAACAAATAGATACATAATTATGAGACGGAGGGAGTATAAATGATATTATCTTAGAATATGAATTAATATACTCCCTCGTGTCTATTTCAAATAGGCTCTTTGAAATTTTATAGTAAACTAAAAAATAATAATATTTTATTGGTTAATGAAAGTGTGAAAGAGGTTTGGACATTTTTATCCTTTGAATTTATGTATAATAAATATTTGTATGTGTAATGTTATATTTATAATTTATGTAAAAATTAAAGGTATTTTATTATTATTGTATTATTATTATTATTATTATTATGATTTTTAAAAAAATTCTTTTAAATGAACATACAAGAATAGTAAAAAAGTACTTTATTGAGACATACAAAAGTACTTTTTAATCATATACTTTGAAGTATATAATTAAAACTATGATTAAATATTCTTATTATTATATCTCAATAAAATATATATAATACATATTATTTTATAAAGAATTATATTTTATATAATATAAATAAATAAAAAATTATTTATTTATTTATAATTAACATAAAAATCATTTTATAAAAAAATAGGAAACTTTAAATTTTATAAAAATATTTATTTATTTATTAAAGAAAGATAAAAATTAAAAAAGTTTTGGATGAGTCGATGTATAAATGTAAAGAATTTAATCAAATTGAGATGTATTTATTAAGTATATTTAAAACTAATAAAAATTTACTTAAAAATATAAATAGAAAACTGTCATTTATATTGAAACTAAGGGAGTAAAAAAATTAATTTATATTTATTAAGTATAATTACAGCGTTTAATGCAATATTTGTTAAAGTATAAGAAAGACGTGCAATTTTAAAATTTGTAAAATATAAAATTTATACCGAATTTCGAAATAAAATAAAAATATACGAATAACTTTGCCAAATATATTTAAATAGAACTAATATTTAATACTCTATCGGTACACTTTTATTTTTTGATATAAAATTTTAATGTGAGTATATTATTGCAATATGATTTTTTGCTTAAAAATAGTTTAAGAGACATTATTTTTGTAGTAAATAGGTTGTGTGGCTATGATTTTAAAATTGTTTATACGATTAATAAAATAATTATATATATATTTTTATCAAAATATCATTTAAAAAAAATACTCCCTCCGTCTCAGATATTATGTCCACGTTGCCGTTTCTGTCCGTCCCACTTGCCATGTCACTTTTCTTGATGACACATTTTAATCTCATTTTAAATTTTATTTTTTTTTAAATTTTAATTAAACTAATTAGTTATCTTAATCTGAATTTATAATTATTTATATTACACACTTTAATCTCATTTTAAATTTTTAAATTTTATTTTTTTAAAATTTTAATTAAACTAATTAGTTATCTTAATCTGAATTTATAATTATTTATATTATAAGATAATTATTTTTATTAATACATTCTTAATTATCTACTAATTATATCCCTCGATGGAGGGAGTATAAATCAAAATTTTATTTTAAATCATTTCAAACGCTCAAACAAAACCTGTGTAAAAATAAGAAAATATTATACTCTTTCCGTCCAAAATATTTTGAATTTATTACTTGTAAATATGAGAATTTAGATACAATATAATTAATAAGTAATTAAAAAATATATTAATAAAAATAATTATATATTAAAATTAAAATAAATAAATGATTTAAATAAAATTTTAAATTTTAAATTTTAAAATATAATTAAAATGTATAATTATATTTTTAAAAATAAAAATAATAAATTACATTAGACGAAATCAAAATAAAAAATATAAATAAATTTTGTGAAAAATGGAGGGAGTCCAAAATAAGAATGAAGACATGATACAGCACAGCGCCTAATAATGACAATAAATGCATGCAAAGAAAATGTGGAGCCTTTCTTTTTCTCAAAAAGTACACTCTCTCTCTCACACACACACACACACAGTTACGTACAGCAGAAACAGAGGTCTCTCAAAGTCAGCCATCAGACATGGGCGAACGACGTACGGCCACCTGTCGGGGAAGACAAGGACCAGAATAAAGCATCTGTCCGTGACCAGTACGAATTCGCTCGCCCATCACACGCCGCGCCCGCCGCCCGGTACACAACCAATTTTCAAGCCTCATGCGCCCTACGATGTGCCTGGTGTACTGTACTGTACTGTGTTGTAGCAGGACAATTCGAGTCAATTAATTTAGGGTTTTGGTGTTTTTGTTTTTGAGATGTAGAATGGCTGAACCGTCGGAGCCGCTAGAATCCGAGAAACCCTCAGCTGCAAAATTGGGGGAATTGGAGCCTTCCATTATCGATGATGAGTCGCGTTGCGATCCGGTTGCTGATGATCAGCCATTTGCCGGTGAGGAGGAGGTGCGATTGGGGGAATTTCTCGAGAGGGAGTTGCTTGAGCTCGCGATTAAGCAGGCGGAGATTGAATCGAGGGCAATTGCGGAAGGGGATCTTGTTGGGGAGGATCGAGCAGCTGAGGAGGAGAACGGTGGCGATGGCGATGGCGATGGCGATGGAGATGGAGATGGAGGTGATGAAATTGAGAATGAAAGGAATAATGGTGATGAAGTTGTGCCTAGAGAGGAGATGATGATGATGATGAAGTCAGGGAGACATAACAGGAGTAATAATCGGAGGAGGATCGACTATCCTATGCGTCCCGATGCCGATGATTGTGCTTATTATATGAAATTCGGATCGTGTAAATTTGGTTCTAGCTGCAAGTTTAATCACCCGCCTAGGAAGAACAATCAGGTTTGTTTCTGTGCAGCCATTAATTAGCATTAGCTTGGAACTGAAGGTTATGGTTTCGAAGCTGGTTATTATCTTTTTCACAGACTTCAATATGGATGCTTCTTGTTTATGATTTCCAGTCATTTGATTGATTTGCTGATTCTTGATCCAGCATTTACTGACTGAAAATTTCAATTTTGTTAAAACCCAGTCTTTCTTGTTCTACAGAAATTGCTTATGTCTGCTTAGGATGTGTTGTTTGTATTTGTGTTTCGTGTTTAAATAATAGTTTGATGTGATGAATAGCGAAAGAAAATAGCAATATATTTTTATAATAAATCGCAAGGATTGTATAGGAAATAAACTGATAAAAATTTCAAAGAGAACAGAGCCTTACTGTTGTTTCAGCTATACTATTGCGAATCGAATGGCTTTGCTTAATGATGATGGTTTGAAATGAGTTATTCACATCCAGGAAGATAGTTGAGATTTCTTCGAAAGGACTAGTAGAATGTTTGTAGTTTCGTATGTGCCTTCTTTTTTGATCACTTTATTTGATCAAAGACTGTAGTTATCAATTGAATGAGTCTCGACATTTTTTTTTTATTAAAAGTCCGTAAAGAAGGTAGTTTTGGTATTCTAATGATCAATAAGCTTCATTCCAAAGTATAGCACATTGATTTATTTTGGTAATTATTTGTACGACTCTTCGAGTCATGATATCTATCTAATAGGAATTTTTATTTTTGTAGGTTAAAGAGAAAACAAAAATCTGGGAAGAAAACTATGAAAGGGGTGCGCAAACTGAATGCAAGGTCGATCACTTATGTTCTTGTTATTGCTATCATGTCTATTCTTTGTTCAATTTTTCTGTTCCAATTGGGTAAAGATCTTTTGCTCCTCACACTAGGCCCGTAATATATATTGGCGGGGCTCATGTTCGGCTATTTGGTGTTCTTGTAATGTTTGCTGCTTCTTTTTATTTATTGTTACATGGCACACCATTTCTCTTTACTAATCTTTTTATTGTCTTATGTTTGTTTGATTCGACAACTGATTCGTTCTTGCATAATTTCTGCAGTATTATTTGAAGTTTGGGGGCTGCAGATATGGAAAGGACTGCAAATACTCTCATGGTTCGAACAAAAGTTTCTCAGAAAATAATCCTGAGTTCAACTTTTTGGGACTGCCAATTCGACTGGTAAATCCTTTCTGGCCTAGATTGTTTCGATCCAGTGGATATATATGAAAACTCTTGATTTCGTTGCTTCTCATGGCTTGAATTTGAATTGAACTTTTTATATACTTAGAAAACTTTCTTTCATCCATTTTCGTTGCTTGTCATTGCTTGAATAAGAATCGAACTTTTTAACTACATGGAAAAGTTTCTTTTATCCATTTTTGTTGCTTCTCATGGCTTGAACTTGAATCGAACCTTTTAAATACTCAGAAAAATTCCTCTTATCCATTTTTGTTGCTTCTCATGGCTTGAACTTGAATCGAACCTTTTAAATACTCAGAAAAGTTTCTTTTATCCATTTTTGTTGCTTTCATGGCTTGAAGAAAAATCGAACTTGTTGCTTCTCATGGCTTGAACTTGAATCGAACTTTTCAATTTCTCAGAAAAGTTCCTCTTACCCATTTTTGTTGCTTCTCGTGGCTTGAACATGAATTTAACTTTTTAAGTACCCAGAAAAGTTCCTCTCATTCATTTTTGTTGCTTTTCATGGCGTGAACTTGAATCGAACTTTTTAAATACTCAGAAAAGTTTAATTTATCCATTTTTGTTGCTTCTCATGGCTTGAACTTGAATCGAACTTTCTAAGTACACAGAGAAAGTTCCTTTTATCCATTTGTGTTGCTTCTAGCAACTTGAAATTGAATCGAACGTTTTAACTACACACAGAAATTCTTCTTATCAATTTTCATTGCTTTCCATTACTTGAACCTGCATCGATCTATTAAAATACACAGAAAAACTTCCTCCTATCCATTTTCGTGACTACATTTAGTTGGAGATATATCGTTGCAGGGGGAAAAAGAATGTCCCTACTACATGCGGAACGGGTCGTGCAAGTATGGCTCAAACTGCAGATTCCATCATCCGGAACCTGAAACCGTGGCCGGAGGTGGTTCTTCTTCAAGATACAACAGCCCCGGAAATGGCGGAACACTTTCAACACAGCGCATTTCTCCATCGACTGGATCCTCATGGGGTTCACCTATCCCATTTGCAGATACTCCTCCATTCGTTCCAGTAATGTTTCCTCCGACCCAAGGTGGGGGCGTCGCCCCAACTCCCGAATGGAATGGTTTTCATCAGGTACTTTATTTAAAACATTATTTCTTAGCTAAATCTCAACTTCTAATGTTCGTCGATATTTTAGGCTGTTGGCTACCAAACATCAGAAAAAAGTCTACCAATGCCACCGGCATTTGCTCTAAACAATCTCCCCGGCGATTTTCCCGTCGAGGAATATCCAGAACGACCCGGCGAGCCCGAATGCGCGTTCTTTTTGAAAACCGGAGACTGCAAATTCAAATCGAACTGCAAATTCCACCACCCGAAGAACCGCGACTCCCACACTAAGATGAATTTGTTTTCGCTCAACGACAAAGGTTTGCCGCTAAGACCGGTGAGTATTACGGCAACTCTCCTTCTTCGACATTTTTGCATGTTCATTCCTCTTAATCCTGCTCGTTATCGTCGTCCAGGATCAGCCGATATGCACGCACTATCATCGCTATGGCATTTGCAAGTACGGCCCCGGTTGTAGATACGATCATCCGTCGAAATTCGGCGTTTCACCCTCTCAAGATCGCCATCCGTCGTCGATCGATGGAAGAATCGACGGCGGGGATGAAGCATCAGGACAGGTAAGTGAAGGTGAATCTTCAGTAGATGCAAAAGCTTGAGTATAGTATAGTATAACATAAAGTTTATGACTAGAACATATATATATATATATATATGTTGCTTTTCGAATGTCACAACTTTTTCTTTCTTTTTTATTTTATTTTATTTTTTTGTCCAAAGGAAAGCAAGATTGGATGTATTATCAGGATGTACTTTGGAATTATTTATCTTTTTATATTCATAAGATACTTGTTACTGTGAGTTGTTATTGAAAAATATTCTCGTTTTTTTTTTAAATAAAAAATTATTATATTTTATTTTTATTAAAATCCGTATCCGATCAAATGAGCACACGGAGAAAGTATTATTTATTTCTGTGATTGAATTTGTTTCTTATTACTATTTTGGACAATTTTTTTAATAATTGAAAATAGTACTCCTTAGTACCCCGCCCAATTAAGTCTTTTTTCTTTTTTTCATATACAATAAGCTACTCGTTTGGCCGTAGGATATATGAGAATATATTATTTAATTAGTTAATAATAAAAAATTATTATAATACTATTTTGTTATTTATATATAAATAATAATGTTAATAATTTTAAAATAATTTTAATATATATTATTAAAAAAATAAAATATGTATTTAAATATTTTAAAAATTATATTTTAATAAAAATATATGCAATATGGATATTTGTTTTTTAGAAAATAAAATTTATTATATAAGTAAGTAAAATTTTTATTCACGTAAACTCATTTTATAAAAATGGTGTTTGACAATTAGCTGTTAGTTTTTAACTTATAGCTGATTCGATTAGGTTTGACTAGTTTAAGGTATTAGTTGGTAAAATCAATTTTGTATAAACTGTGTATATACAATTAAAGATATTATATATATTTTTTTAAAAAAATATTTAGCTGAACTTTTAGTGGCTAGGCTTTTTTAAAATTTTATTATTAATTATTAAAAATTAGGAAATTTTATTAAAATATTTATTTTTAATTTTTTTTAAATGTAATTTTATTGATATATATTGCATTAAAAAATTAATAAATATATAAAAAAAACTTATTAGTATATATATACTTCCTCCGTCCCATCGAAAGGTTATCATTTTTCATTTTCGTCCGTTCCAAAACAAAACAAGGTTACCATTTCTTAATTTAGTAACTGTACTACCTACTTAACATAATAAATATCCTTTCAACTTACAATATATTACACAAATGTCATTACTTTTATATTACACCATACTTAATAGGGACATTTTTCTCCTTTTTACTACAATCCAACATAATACTAATATTAAAAAAATTTACATGCAAAAAACAAATGACACCCTTCCGGTGGAAGTATTTTTATTAGATTAATTTTAGTTAATAGTATATATTTTCATTAAAATTATAAATTTTAAATAAATATATTTATTTTTAATAAAAAAAATATGTAATAAAAAATATAAAGATGAATTAATAATATTTATATTCTTTATATCTTTATTTTAACAAATTTTAAAATTTTTATAAATAAAATATTTGACATATAAAAAAATAATTTTATTTAAATTTTATAAAAAGGATTTTATAAGTTATTAGTGTAATAATTATTTTAAAGTTAAAAAAATAATATATTTGAAATATATTCAAATATGTAATAAATAGTATAATAAAACGTAATATATTAATATATGTGGGAATTAATTAATTTTATAGACAAATAAAAAAAAGTTAAAATAAAAATATAATTATTTAAATTTTATAAAAAGAATTTTATAAGTTATTAGTGTAATGATTATTTTAAGTTAAAAAAATAATATATTTGAGATATATTCAAATATGTAATAAATAGTATAATAAAACGTAATATATTAATATATGTGGAAATTAATTAATTTTATAGACAAATAAAAAATAAAAAAAATTAAAATAAAAAATTAATTTGAACGCTAGTCAACAACTAAAAGCCTTTTTCGATAAGTTAAAAGTTGTTGAAAAAACCGTTCTTAATTATTTTGAATAATTTTTTTTAATAATTGAAGATAGTACTCGTTAGCATCCGCATCATTTTGTGTTTTTTTTTTTTTCATATACAAATAAGCTACTCCTTTTTAATTAGTTAATCATAGAAATATATAATATTATTTTATTATTTTTATATAATTAATAATATTAATATTTTTATAATAACTTTAATATATACAACTAAAAAATAAAAATATATATTTAAATATTTTAAAAATTATATTTCAAAAAAATATATATATGCAATATGAATATTTTTTTTTAGAAAATATAATTGATAATATAAGTAAAATTTTTTTTTTTTTATATATAATTAACATAAACTAATTTTATAAAAGATGTTAAGTTTTAAATGTAGATAAAATATTCATTTTTTTAGGAAAGATATATAAATAAAGAAGTTTTGAGTAGGTCTGTATAATTTATGATATTATATGTTATAGATTTAATTAAGTTGATTGTTAAATATGTTTTGATTTAGTAAATTTTATCCAAAAATAGAAATATGTCAATTGTTACTGGATAAACAAAAATAGAAAAATGTCCGTGATAGAAGGGAGGGAGTATTTTTTAAAATAATAAAAATTAATAATTTTTTATAAAAATTTAATTCTAACTAATTGAATTTTTTTTTTTTAACTCACAATTATTTCAAAATTTTAATTTTAGTTATGTTTAATTACAATTGATAAAGTTAAATGACCTAAAAGTCCGAAAACTCGACTCGGATATGTTATCTAAAATCGGACTTAAACTAAACTGAGCTAAAAAATTTCAAAAATAAAAATAAAAGTAATTTTGATATTTAAAAATATATATTCTGTAATTGATAAACTTTAATTGGATTTGTATTTTGATTGATATAATATAAATATGTATTGATACGATATTTTATTTTCAATGTAAAATTAATTTTTAATACAACATAAAAATGAGAAATAAAAGTTTAACTTGTACATTTTAAGAAGGGTGAAATTGGTGAATAGACTCATTTTTAATATAATATAAAAATAAAAAATAAAAATTTGATTTAATATTTAGAAAAAAAAATAGTAAAATTTAACGGTGTATTTTGTTGGAAGTTTAGATTGAGATTGAATTTTGATTATATAGTAATTTTTTTATTAATTTCAATAATTATTTAATGTTATATAAATAACTATCGATGTGATATTTTGAATATAAAATTAATTTTTAATATCATGTAAAAAAATAAGAATTTGATATGATATTTTTGGAGTAAAAATTCAATGAATAAATTTAACAATGTGTTTGGTTGTAGTTGGAATATTGAGTTTGAGAATTGATAGTAAAATTTTTAGATTTGAATAATTATGTGATGTTATTTGAATATGTATTAATATGATATTTTGATATAAATTAATTTTTAATATAATATAATATAAAATAAAAAATAGGAATTTCATTTGATATTTTTTGGAAGAAAAAATTTGGGATAAACTCTAGCTCGTTATATGTTTAAGTTTTGAATATTAAATTTTTCAAAATTGAATAATAGTATGATGTTATATAAATATTTATTAATGTTGTATTTGTAATATAAAAATATTTTTTAATTTAATATCAACAATAAAAATATTGATAACTTTAAGAGAAAAAATTGGTGAATAGTAAATTCTTTTGGATAAAATCCAACCAAACACAAATTTTTTAATTTATATTTTAAGTAATTACACAATAATTTGATATAAATAATTTACTATTATTTTTTATTTCAAAAATTAGTATTATGATGAATAATTACATAAATAATTTGTCTAAATGCAAATATTATTTATGTCAAAATTAATTAATATATATTTCACTAATAAAATATTAAATAAATAAATATATTTTACTCGATTATAACTATCACGTCAACTAAATTAAAAATAATTAATTTTCTAACAAATTTTCTTAATAACTATGTTCAAAAGAAAGTTGCATAATTGAGTGGGACAGAAAGAATACTTTATTTGTGAAATTGGATACTGTTTGATTATTTGTAAATATACATGTATTTATATTTGAATCAAATTGAACAAATACTTAAAACGAAAAATTTGGTATTAAATTTTGGTTAATAAAAAATATTTGCAAATCGGTTAATCGATATAAAAAATGTTTCCCCTTGACTATTAGAAAATGTAGGATTTGGTTGAGATATTAAATTTTGAGAATAATAATACTACAATGCACTCACTAGGGCTGGCAAACAGACCAGGTTATGTCGGGTTCGGGTCAGCTTAAACAGGTTACAAAACTCTTGACCTGAACCTGACCCGTTTAATTAAATGGGTTGATATGTGCAACTTTAACCTGACATTTTATTAATCGGTCAACCTGAATCTAACTCGTATAACCCGTTTAATCTAAAAATTTTAAATGCATAATATATATACATATTAAAGCAAGAAATTATTTATTCATGAAACCGATATTCAAGAATTGAATTAACAATCACTACTTAATAGTACACAACACAATCCTTTATTTTTTATTGTTTATTTTTATAAAATTGGCCATAAATATTGAATTGAAAATATATTTAAATTTAAAATAATATTAATTAAATGGGTTAGACATGTTATTTTCAAATCGAAAATATAGACCTTAACCTGACCCATTTAATTAAATGAGTTAAACAAATTTGACCAAATTATTAATGGGGTCGAAAATCTCAACATAAACCCAACTATTTCAGGTCAGGTTCGGATCGGGTTATCAGGTCGGGTTAATTTTTTACAGCCCTAGCACTCACTATATAAATAAATATTTAGTACTATGATAATTGAAATATATACATATATTTATATAATATTTAAATAAAAAATAAATATTTATTCTAAGAATTTTAGAAACTTATAAAGTGAAACAAAATCAAACTACCATAACAATCATCACTTAGGTTTGTTCTACTAAAGAAATGAATAAAGTGAGTCACTATAGGAATTTGAATTTGTACAAGCTAAAGGTTTCAAGTATCATCAACACCCAAACCCAAACCAACCCAATCTCACCACTACAAAGTTTAGATTACATACAAAAAATCAATCTACCTTAGCCTTAGGTGAGCTACAAACAAAAGCTTACAGACTCAAGTCTTCAAAAAATCGATATTTTTAGGTCTATTACACATACAAACCAAACAAAGTACACAGATTGTTGTCTAGTTTAATAAGAGTCGGCCTGAACATTAGCTTTGTTACCAGCAAGGATAAGGGAGATCTCGAGACCACGACTGAAGGCCTGATTGAAGAGCAGGCGCGACTGGAAAGTGGAAACAAATGGGAACCACGATAGCACGGCAATTGGGGCAAAGATGAGCATACCCATTCCAGCATCATACATACGAGCAAACTCTTTTACAGAATCCCAGAGGCCTAAACTCTTCACTACCCGTCTCCAAGTGATTGCCAGCTGCAGGAACATTAATATTGATGAAAGCAGAAAAAGACAGGTGGAGTAACAGTAGGGAGGACACGATTAAATCTTGAACAACACATACCTTAAACTGAATATATTCAATTGAGGGGTTTTGAAGAAATTGACCAGCTCATTATTATCCAAAATCGAATGGAAAACTAAAGTACACGTGATGGTTACTTACACAAAGGATGAGCCATCCGGTGGGAAGAAATGCAAGGATGCAGGCAAACAAATCTGGTACAGATAGTTCTGTAAACAGCACAACCAGGCAAATGGCTGTAATAACCATAATTGCTGTCAGTCCTTGTATAAACCGCATCATTAGCTGGAACTTAGTCGACTTTTTGGGGCTAAAGGTGAAGATCTGACAGAGAAAGAGAGACAGATATGAAGCAATCACCATGATGGTAGTGTCATTATATTACACAAATATTGAATTAAAATTATTTAAAAAAAAAAAAAGACATGAAAATGACAAACCTTGAATATTATAACGATGAAAACCAATGCAACCCAAGAGAACCCGTAGACCTAAGGTATTGCAGTATAAGCAGATTAAAAATATCAGGAAGTTGGGAAGGGGAAATTAATAGACTTGATTGAAATAACATTCCATCACAAATATAAAAAAACAGATGGGGTTCCAACAGAAATTGGTGGCGTAACGAAAATGACAGGCTGTAAATGGAGATCAAGTTAAAGCATCAGCAGTTTCATTGACGACACCAATATATATATACACACATATATATATATATATCAATGGCTGAAAATTAAGGTAATAGATTCTATAGTAATGCTATTCTCAAAGCACACATTATCAAACTACACATTTGAGGTACTTGCAGTATTCTGTACCAATATTATCAGATCAGGTTGTACATAGCAACGAGCAATTTCTTATTCTTGCTAAATCTCTCTGCAAGCTTGTTTCAAACTCCAAGGCTTCAAGATATAGTTTCTCCACTAAATCCTTTTCATGCAGACATTATCTACTCATATGCCCATATTCAAGAAATTTAAGATGGACGTCTGGTTATAGTCTTGCGGAATTTCCCCTTTCAAATAAGAACCTTTTGAACAAAGTGATAGCTGTTGGAGTTCAGAAGGGGATAATTTCATATTTGCATGCAAGCCTCTTTGAATGTTTCTTACTCCAACAGTATTGTTATCTTGATTTTCAAAGTCAATTCTTAATCATAGTAATGTATTTTTTATTTTTTCATTTTTCCTTTTTCATAACTCCATAAAGGCATTTTATTAGCACACGGGTTTAACAATTAAGTAATATAAAGGAAATGGAGAAAGTATACCCCAATAGATGTATGGTTTCCTGTAAGATGAAGTTTGTAGACAACGCCGTACTGAAAAATAATAAATCTCAAGCTTAAAATTGTTTCAAGTATGCGTCCTCTCATCGTCTGTATATGCATCTGCAGAAAAGACAAACTTATGGTAAGAAGAGTGGTTTAAAAAGGCATAAAAACAGATATATAAAAGCTTAAACATATTTGTAGAAATTGAGCAAATTTGAAAAATGTATGACAGAGAAGACAATTTGAAATCACACTACCGGATATATACCTGTGGTCAAATGTTCACAAGTAAAGAATGATTCGTGGGCTTTAATATGCATTTACCAATTCCTCATTAAAGAACTTAACTTAGAAGTTCGAAACAACAGATCAAATAAATGAGATCATAGGTACAAACCTGTTCCTCTTCCCACCAAGACTCCCAGCTATTGTCCCCTTTTACTCCAACTCCTCCTTTATACATAAGCCAATTGGTCCAATCATCAAAATCCTCTACAGTCCTGTACATTAGAGGTATATATTTCATAAATGTAGTGAAAAAGAGGGGAATCACAATAAGCATATGAAATTATTTTTTATTTGGAAACTGGAAGACAGGCACGAGAAAATAATCTATAAAGAATGCCAAGAAAACTAGAGCAGAATAATAAAAAAACACATATATCTACAGGCTAAAAGAACTTACTTTTGCCATTCAAATCCAGATGGATTGAATAGATAAGGAGCAAAGAGCCAAGAGATCACAAGTATCCAACTGCTTATAGTTAATAAAATAAATGTCACAGCGCCTTTATCTGAGTATCCATAGGCAATGAAAACAATAAGGAGCAATGCTACTTCCAACCTGAAAAAATATAAAACAATGCCTCTGGTAAATATTTGTATGGTCTCAATCATATGAAAATGTGTGCATGTGCTCATTAGTTTTAGGGTATGTAAAAATAAAATAAAAAGGTATGCAAGGTACAAATTATGCACTTGCAGTCCCACACACAGTATTTTCAGTATAGCATGCTGAATTGAAACTCACGCTTTTACAAAATGACTTCTTGAGTAAAGCCGATAATTCTCTGCAAACTTTATGTGGCGGACAACAAAACCTCTTCCAGTTGCTCGGTACTGTCAAAGTATATTCAACACATGATAACAATATAAAGTTTGTTCAATGAAAAAACAAGGAATCTGGGTACCTTTGCACCTCCATGTAGAATAGTGCGACCAAAATAATGAGTTCTGGTTCCTAATGAAAATGTGAAAAAGACAGAACAGAGCTGAAGCTGCATTGTGATAAAACTGAAAACAGCCTGCATTGCATAAAGTACAGTCACCATTCATTTAATAAAAAAAGAAAAAAAAAAAAAAGATGTTGAGTTATCATCCTAAAGCATCATTCAACATAAAATATATCCTTGCAGCTCCAATGATTACATAATAATGTTTAAAAAAATGATAGAATTATCAGATACCTGCAACAATCCCTGCTCAAGTATAAAACCCACAATCATGGGAACTGCAGTGAATATCCCAATCTGGACAAAAAACTGAGCATTCAGAACAGCATCTAATGCCGTATTCCCCATTAATTTGGCTTCCCGTGAAATTGCCTTATCGAGTCCTGACAATGCCTGAGATTCAAAGTGTAAAATGACAGTAAGGTTATTGTTTAATGAAAACCTTGATCCCCATTGAATGCCCAGAAATTTTTAGGTATAGAAATGATGTTTCCATTTATTCACATGGATCTAAAATAGATAACTTAAAAGAAAGTAATTGCATGATATATTGGACACATAAAAAAATTCAAAAAACTAAGATTTGACAGCCTCTTATTCAATAATTCTTGGATGCTTTTTTCATATCTATAGTCCAACATTACTCTGAAGGTAATTGTTCTCTCTAGTTTTCGGGCTTTTGTGTTCACATTTAGCTCCTATCTTTGTTTCCTCTGTATCCCCTCAGTTTTTTATTTTTTATTTTTAATTCAATAATATTTTGCTCTCCATAATAAAAGATCTAGTAGCTATGTCAGATTTCAGCTGCAGTATCAAATATATATTGTCCTTGTGCTTCTAAATTTAATATATTATCCACATTGAACCACATGTTACGGAAATTCTTTATGCTATTGGAGTCAGATCAGAAAGTCAGTTGGACATATTTAATGATGTGCTTCCATGAGTAGTTTCAGTAGAAATAACAGTAATGTTTACAGGGGTAATTAAATAGGAGTCTTATTTCATCAAAGCATACTACTGATAAGGATGATTCGTTAACAAGCAAATAGAAGAAACTGGCAAGTGAATGAAAACTTACTAGATAAACTCTTCCATAGAGAAAAACGTATAGTGTAAGAACAGTCATCTGCATAGCCAGAGAAAATTAACAAGATAGTTAGAAAAAAATATAACAATACATTGATGATAGTCGCCAATCCTAGAATACATTAGCATCCATACCATGGTGCAAACATAGTAGCCAACGGTGGTGAAAAAGAAGGATAACATTCTGAAGAAATCAAAGAGTTGCCCAAGTCTGTACACATCCCTGCTCAGTACTTGCTCTCCATTCCCCCCAGCAACTTTACCTTCAAACAGAGCAATTTGGTTCAAGCCTACATCTCTTCCCTTTCCAACCTGTTCAAGGTCGTAAAGATATTAGAAAACGTTCTTTCACTTGATGCATTAAATAAATTGATGCAACCTGAATATATTCATGGTGTGTGATGTTTCCCTGCCTCAGCGTAGAATTGAACCCTACAAAGTCAGAACAATAAGTAGAGGTATCAGAGGCCATACTTCATAGGCCAGATTCCAAGGTGATATGCCCATAAGTTCATTGTAAAGTGTAACATAATTACGTTATTAGAGGCATCATATAATGTGAGGGCCACATCTAGACAGGAAATAATAAGTTAGATGTCTTGAACTCCTTGCATAACTCAGGCAGACAGTTCAGTCAAAGATCCACAACAATAAATTTCAAATAAAGCCCAAGAAATAACACAGAAAGGACAAGGTGAAAACAAAAATGTATAAAAGATGAAACAAGATCTAACAACATTTCCACTTATATTGAGAGTACTCCTATATATCAAATGTACTAGGATTCAACTTAGTATTGCAGACAATGTCTCCAACAACTAGAGCAAGCAATCACTGTCAGGAATAGCTCACACTCCTATATTTTTATCAAGGCATGAACGAAATGAATTTTTTGACTCTTAAGTTGAAACACTGTCCAAACGCACCTGCATAGATATCTTCGCTGATATTAATAACCCGTGATGCTTTACTAACACCACCGCGAGTAACATGAAAAATCCGGTCAAAGACATCTGGATGCCCATAGTGCATACGAACTCTGCAAGATTTCACATGTACACTTAGACAGGGATGCTCATGCTAAGGTTAAAGCATCCAAAAACAGGGTTTTAGTTCAATGAATAATAGTTACATAGATTGTAACTTCATGATATATATAAACATCTGTACTCTGTAGCAAACCCTTCAAGTGCATCGTGAAAAAGAGAAGTAAAAGAATGTTGAAAAACAAATAACTTTGTTAAAATCACCAAAAAAATCCATAAAAGAACTCACTTAAGAGGCGTTGCTAAGACACGCTGTCCCAACGTCACAAAACTAGTCTCTTGGTTGGACATGAACCAGGCCAAGGAAGAAACACTACATGATTAAAAAAAATAAAACAATAAAAATCACTTGTAATATAAAATATAGCATGAGCACGTATATGTGTTGAGGGTGAGAGAGAAAATAAACCTTCCAGTGAAGACGTGCTCCCTTACACCAAGGATTGTGGGAGGTCTAAGCCCGTGATTTGAGTTAAATTCTTCAAGGAGATTTCTCATTTTCATTGCCTCCTCAAGGTAGTTGTCCTAAAAACACAATTTTCAACAATGTTTTATCTCACCACAAAACTGAATTGGCGAGCGAGACGCAAGATCATCGATAGTTGAGTTAGATATGTTTTCATAGTTTCATCAATTTAAGAGTTCTCATCAACTATTGGTATCCCATATTATGGGCACAAATCTAATGTGACCTAATTAAATTGAGTGTAAGTTTTTCCAAGGTCTAAGCTATCACACACATACAAAACAAAGAATGCTGATGTAAATGTTCGTAACTACAAGAGGCTAAGCACAGTGGAATGCAACTTATAGACCATTTAGAAATATAGCGTCTCATGCACTCATGGTCTTGAACCCTAAGAGATTTATAGTTGTGGCGCATCTATGAGTTTAGCCATTTTATCATCCACTCAGCACATCTACTTTGACCGAGAATGAATCATACCATGATATAGAAAGAAGATGAAACCTAAAACCTATGCACTCATAGTTCACATTCTTTATACTCTTAACTTATCTTCTCCCAAACATGCATCATCCTGTCTTTCAGACATTCATTTAATCGAATCTAGCAAAACCCAACTTTTGATTAACTTGTACACATTGATTCATTAACCCACCGTAATCACAAGACCATCTCCTTAAACTACCTGCATCACCACCTCCACTACAGCTCATTTCTATTCTTAAAAGAAAAGAGTAACAGCCTTCAGCTTCTGTCTTTGATTCCTTCTTCCACTCATGCCTTTCATTTCCAGTTTCACAAATTGCATAATCAAAGCATGATAACTACCCACCCGATACCTTTTTTAAGACAAGTTTCACCACAGTAAGGAACAGAACATCTAGGCTGTGCAATAGTGAATAAGCTATTGATTAAATTTCCTCATAACGTGTCAAGATTAAGATTTTATTCCAAAGAAAATCACAAGCAACCTGATTCATGTCAATCGTTTGAACAGCACTTCCTCGTGTAAAGACTATAGCATGATTTTGATTTTCAGGTTTCCCTTCACCGAGCTTGGGATCGCCAGGAAGTTTAATGGAATATATTTCCTGAGTAGAATCCAGATTCCAGATTAAGGCAGAAAAGGGAGAAAAATAAAGGAATAAGCAGATGTGCCACTCTCCATAATAAATGTGCTGTTACACAGAGACTTAATAGTTGACTATATTGAAACCACCCCAACATAGTTATATTTCAACATAAGCAGATAAAGATATGATAAGACAGGAAAATTATAAACAACCTGGAAATAAAAATATGTAGTATCAGTTAGCTGAAACTAAGGGAAGCTTCAGTTGAACAGGCAAATGATTTCAAGATCATACAAAAGACCAAAGAAAAAGTTAGAAGTTTTTTAAGCTCATATTATTCATAATTTCTTTTTCTGGTAATCAGTAATTATAAGAGAGGAAAGCTCCAACACAAAATATGACACGTCAAACATAACAATAACATATATTTCAGCCAGACAACTTTTTTCGTACAGTTGGGCACAAGAGCAACTGTCTATATTTTGGCACGGGTGTAAAATGAAGGGGCTTGTCTTCCCTTTCTGGTAGGTTTTTTTGTCTGACATTGTTTATTGATCTTTTCAGGACTGGGTCCTCCCTGTGTAAAGTTTTCCCTATCCCTAAAATAATAAAGTAGTTCTCTTTTCCTCCAAAACTAAATATGTATATATATATATATATTATTTAATCTGCTTCAAATAATTTAAACCAGCTCAAGCCGGGTGTTTTAGAACACTTGACTTGATTGCACAAGGATAACCATACATCAGCAGAATTGGTCATGTTCTATTGTTTGTAAGAAAATACCTCTAGAAAACAAGGGCAGATATGTCCATCAATATGAGATTTTTTTTATTGCAAAGGTACTAAATGTCTACATCTTAAAACCAGCAACTTCAAACACCTTAGATTTAACCAATTTTATACCAAAAAAAAAAAAAAAAAATCATGACAAGAGCTAAGAAAAGTTAATGCTACCTCCATTTGAAACTAATTAATTATAATTTTCAAACAATAAACACATTTCACATAATTAGTCATTTGAGAATTGAAATTAGTTAAAATAAAATCGACCATCCTCTATCTAATATCGTATCTAACAAATAAAACACATGAAAGTATTATAAAGTTTTCGAGGGTGTTAAATATTATCTATATCTATAATTTACATATAGATATGATGTTATAAAAAGATCCTAATAAATCATATCCATCTAACAGAGGGCATAACATTATAATTACTAAATAATCTGTCTTCTTTGCGTGCTTTCATCTGTTTCAGTAAACGATGAGAGCCTGACATGATAGGTTACACACATACAAAGAAATGCATGGATACATAATAGAACTTGGACATGAATAATGTACATTCACAGGATACACCAATGAGCATGTATCTAACATAAATTTTTAAGTTCATCTCAACAGAAGAATAATAAATTTTAGATGATAATGAAGCCACAAGAACATCACCAGACTTGGAATAATAACTATTCAATAACATACCTGATCCTTTCCGTTTGCATCAGCTTTAACAAGCTTTGAATAAAATTCCTTCGTAACAACCCCATCACCTCCATCCTTCTCTTCTGTATGTATGAAAGCAACACGAAGTGCCTCATTCCTAATAGCAAACAATAAAACATGTGTCAGTTCTTCCACAGGGAGATACTTATTATGAAATTCAATGAATTTGAATACATGCTCCTATTTTGACTTGGAATTTGAGGTATGATTGACGAGCTGAACCCAAGATGGTGTGGTGAATGTGCGCATGTTACTACCGCTGCTCCCCATGGATCGCATATCAAAACTAAATACTCAACTTTGTCTAAAAGAATCATTGCCTTCAAAAATATTTTCCACTTTAATAATATCAAACAAGAGTAAGTTCTGTAGAATGGAGATTAACAGAAGACAAGTTTTTATAGATCATATTTACAATGCAACAGAAAACTACATTTTTCAAATACCATTTAGTAGTTTCCAATATCACCAGAGTGTTGGTCATAATTTAAACCATGACCAGAATATTATATTGCTTCAAAACGCCTCTCGACCATATGGAAAGAATGCAGCATTCAAACTAATGACATTATGCTCCACAAATTATGAAAACAATAATCCACACAACACTTAGTCCAACATGCAGTGAGAACATTATTTAGATAGAAGTCAACACAAAAAACACACCTTTGTAGTAGTAAAGCAATATCAGTAGCCTCCGGTTTTTTTTGCTGCTTTTGTTGCCCATAAATTTGGCAAGATACAACATAAGTGAACTTGATATCAGCTTGAGCCCGTGATTCACGTGATAGCTGAAAACCTTGACTGGACAAACTCGACAGAAAAGAATCATCCTCTGCACAGAATGGCAATCAATTAAGTATTAAAGTGATTCTCATGCATACAAAGATATTCTGGTGACATAACACTAACCTCCTAGAGATCTTCTTTCCAAGTGACTCTGAAGCATCAAGGCCCTTCTATAGTACATCATACCACGCACTGAATGTTAACCATGACCAAAAAGAAAAAGAAAAACAGAAGTTGAAAATTAATGGGAAAGAACTCCAAATTCATCCATTCTATATCTATACAAGATAACTGTGATCAATGAAAAAGAGCTCATTAAACCTGTCCTAGCCAAAGTCTGCCCCCTGTAAGATGCCCAAAATCGAAGTTCCAAAGCAGCATCTGAATTTTCTTCAAATTCATCAGCATCAGTTTGGTCGAGACGTTCCAAAAAGTTCTCCCATTCATCTATAGTCAAAATAACAGTGGAAATGTAAAAAGTAGGATATATTAACAGAAAATGAGCTGGGCTAGCAAAAGATTTGGACAATCGAAACACTGCATAGCTCATTTTCTAACTTCACTATCCACAATTGTATACGCAATGTAAGAATCACTGAGCAAGAGTCCCTGACCTAGCATAACTGTGGCAAATTTTGAAAGATATCTAGAGTGTATAGAAAAATATTGTCAATGCCAAAGGCGAAAAGCAAAAAGTCTGGTATTATGGGCAATGAATATACAAGAGTGAGCAGGTTAAATAGTGTTATTACAAGAAAGATATGATTCATTCACGAGGCATTTATTATGTGGCAATGCGTCATGCATAGCATCCTGAGAGAACAGCAACCATCAAATATACCTGGAAATATTTTCTGAAGATAGAAGAGAGTTGAGATTCCATCTTCATTTTCATCCCGCAAGTCAGAGTTGCTATAAAGCACTGTTTCACTGTAGTAGGGAGTGAAGACACTATTCCAAGACAACAGAAAGCACATTAGTTAGAGAGACACTGCTTGAAACCAGATCAATGAATGTAAAAAAATATAATAATAATAACAACAACATATATGCTATTATAAAACAATATTGCATCCAAATGTTTCTAAACAATTAAAACAATAAATTAAAGGAAATAACATACCAGAATGGCACCATCTCACTAACTGGTTTAGCTGGTGGCATATCCATGAACAATGAGTTCGAGAAAAATTGCAGTCTTCTTCTTGCTTCAAGATTCTTTGGTATATTAGCAGCACTATCCTTTACAGTCAGAAGTAGGTGTAACCTTTTCACCTGCTCTATCTGTTACCAAGGAAAACAGTCAATAATAATCTTAATGGATAAAAGTTGAATAAAGTGACAGCAGAAAGTCACAAAACCTACAATATCAGGATCCTCTGGCCATTTTATCCTTGAAAAGAGGCGCCCTTCATTTCTAGCCCTCAACAGTATATTCCATGTATCAAGCTGTTCCCTGGAGAAGAGGGCTTGTTTTAATGCATCAAAACTTAGAAGTAATGCCTAATCCATCAGTAAGAAACTTTCTTCCACCGTACCTTAAATCAGGTGACACTAGTTCATGTGTAACAACATCATAGAAATCAAACACAGCATTAGCTGCACCTCTTTCAAGTGCAGGAGTACGGTCACGGATCTGGGGAGACAAAAAATGTTATAATCATGGAAAGATAAAGGGAAAGAATATTCATAAATAAAGTAGTTAGATGCATTTCATGTTGTAATGCTTCAGCAATCACCATATGGTGGTAAAAGAGGGCTCAATAAAAAATATACCAATAACAGTTCAAACCTAGAAATAATACCATTTACAATTATATTTTATTGAGAGAGAGAGAGAGAGAGAGATATGAAGAAAGCATAACTCATCTAAGTAATAAAACAGAGAAAAAATAATGAAAAGGTAAACTAATGGTGTGTTCTTTTTGTCAAAACAAACCAACAAATTTTTCCAAAAGAATTAATATATTACACACTCATTGTTTTTATAAAACATACACAATTTCCTATAGTTCACATAAAGAAAAATATCCCTTCAAACTATTTCACAAAACAAACACACCCAACATAAAAACCTTAACTGCATACAAAAAATGCCAGCATGCACAATCCATAAAATTTACCACTAGCAACTTTGGTTTTGCATGGCATATTATTTTCAGTCTTTTGTTGCTCTCTTTTCACTTGCCTATTGACATATTCATATTTCTTCTAACGCCATTAGACTATGGAAAAGTGAAAGAAACTACCAGTAGGCCAGTCAACGCTGTAAATCTTGAAAGCACCACAGACAGCTTCTTAAGGGACATTGTAATGACTAGTGAACCTTCCCCTATACTGTTGTTAGTCTCACGAAATATCCTTTCAACCCTGACATGAGAGGAATAAGGACAGACACGTGATCAAAAAAGGGGATAAACTTGTTCCATGCTTATCAAAGTAAGGACACTTTACCAAAGCCTTCCTTCTCCATCAACCAGGGAATGCAAAATTTTCTCAATACTTGAATAGCACTCCCGAACTGCATATGCCATGTACTCATCCTTGCATATTCTATTCCAAAGATCAAATTGTGTGTCTTTACAATCAACAGCCAAATCGATGGCCAATAAGATCTGAAAGTGAATAAACAGAAGCAACTAAGGCTACACTAACTTAAAACCAAACTTTCAGCATGTATGGTATTTAAACACAGGACCAGTTATAGAAAAGCAGCACCTTACTGCTGAGAAGGAAAAGTGGCCATTGAACCAAGTTCAGACTTCCAGTGTTGCTTGGCATCGAAAGTAAGTCTGTCTCCCTGAATCAAAATACAGATAGGAGCGTGTCCATATGTGTGTTCACACAAATTAGAACGAAAATGTAGTTCACCTCAGTAGACAAGTAAACTTTGTATTATAATTTATAACTAATTTAAGGTATTCAGGTATGTCATTAACCACATACCGATTGCTGATATAATCTTCTTCCCTCAAGCTTTTGATTATTTCATTCCAAAATGGGGAAAACATAGCTGCATAGGCCTTGTTATTCACATGAGAAGTCTGGAACCAATAATCAGCACTCAGCACAGAAGCAGTAGAATCTATAGAAAAAATAGAGGGACATGTGCATAGCTACTCCATAGGTGAATAGTAGCAGTGATAAATTGAGGATGCAGCACAATAAACCTACAAATTATCTTAAACTTTTTTTTTCTATTTTTTTTCAACTTGACATGATCCCTCAAAATGAATTTAGAGTAAGAGGTCCAATGACAATATGATTAACTCCTGTTTTTTGGTCGCTCAAGCTACCCATTTCTGTTATATTAGTGTTATTCTCACATCAACTATATATTTCCCCATATTTGAGATTTTGTGCAAATAAACTGCAAACTACATATAAAATCAATGGAAAAGGAATTAGGCAATGGTTTTGCAGTCTTACCTCAGATGAGTCTCTATCAAAAGGCACCCTAAATATCACAAATGAAAAATCAATTTAAGAGATAATACAATCACAAGAACTTCTGCATATCAACAAGTTGGGATTTACAGTACCTTTTGATTCGTGGAGACACAAGATTCTTCACAAAAGCCTCGGGAAAACTTTCAAAACGCTTGTGAACCATTTCAATAGAACGAATCTGCAAATGAAAATTGACACATTATACCACATACTATTTATAACAAAAAAGGATGGGTACATTAGTGAAGTATTAACATGTACCGAGCATATTTAATATGCTAAAGAAGAATATGATAGGATAGCAAGGAGTGAATACCTCTCCTAGTCGAGCTCTTGCTCCCATCACAGCACCATAAATTGCAGACAATAGTGTGTACCAAATATGAATATCCATAAGATATATCTGTAGAAAGAGAGAACGGGGTGATCATATACTCTTTCCAGATAGCAGTAGCTTTGTCAAGTGTCCTTATTCCATACAATGTGACATTATTTTTTTATCTATTGTTTTAATAAGATATTAATAAGAAACTACAGGTTAATGGAGAAAGCAATGCATATACTCACAGCCACCACAGGTGCCCACAGACTTGCTACAGTCAAAGCATTACTATTGTCTGCAGCAAAATCCAATGAAAACCATCAGATTCTTGTGAGAACAAGCTATCACATTATTCAAAAAGATATTACCCTGGTTCTAGAATTATTTTTATCCAAGAATCATTTAGGAAAAAAAAATTAAACATCAGATCAGCTTCGTCTACAAACCTAGAAGGCAAAACCATCATAAAATAGCAATGATTTTAAAATAAAGAGGGAAAAAAAATAAAATTAATGGGTTAGACCAGAAAGGACTGAATCACTTCGATTACAGAATGTTTTAAGCAAAAAAGGTACGTTTACTGCATGGATTATTAGACAAGCCTTGTATGGACCATAAAGCTATTTCAGATATTTGATTTATGTTTTAGATCAAGGGTGTGTTTATTTGTGTTTTTAGTTTGAGGTGCTTTTTATGTGAGGCATGAGAAAAAGTGTCGGTAATATAAAAAATAATATTTTATGTTGAATTATTGACTTTTGTAAGTGAATACTATATATATACATTATGTGGATTGTGGATATATGTATATATTGTATGTTTTATAATATTAATTGGAAAGCTTGTTGAAAAATTAGTAGGGTGAACAAACTCTAAGTTTCTATTATCTTATATTAGGTTATTATGATTTTAATCTATCCGGTTTGTATCATGCCTATAATACAAACTCTGGTTTCTTATTAATAAAATAAATTCTGCAAAATGTAACATGGTATCAAAGTCACATTTATCCAGTCTACATCCAACTGGGAATGTACCCAAAGGCCTTATGAATTTGAGATTCTCGATGGTGGAACGTCCGAGCGCATTTGAATTTTGTTGCTTATTTTTCCAACTGTCTATCAAATTTGTTTCGATTTCAATAAAGTTTATGTTCAGCAGGGCCTATCTTGATATTGTTTAAATCCCTCTTTTCAAATCTCTCAAAGTCCTATTTTCGACTCTGGTTATGTTTAGAGCCCTACTAAAGCTTATAACTCTAATTCCATTATAAGCCTCGGTTCCAACTCTAACTCCATTCAGAGCCCCAATTCTAATTCAGGCTTAGGACTCTTGAGTCTTGACTGTCTTTAGAGTCCTGCTTCTACTCCAACTTTGATCTTTCCGACAATGACTCCAACTTTCAAAGTCTTGCTTCTGATTCCAACTCTAAATGCGTTCCAAGCCCTGCTTCTACTTCTAACTCTGATTCAATGAACAAGGTGCAACACCTCCAATCTCTCTTGGCAAATCACTACTTGAATTTAAGAGGGGATGCTAAGAGCCTTAAATATTTTAAGGGTGTGTTTGTTTGAAGGATTTTGGTGGACTTCCACTATTCATCCAATTTTTTTCCCCCAAAAACATCAAATTAAACACCTATTTTTTATTTTTTATATTATACTAAAAATCAATTTTACATTCAAAACATCACATCAAACCCTATTTATATCACATCATACAACTATTTAAATTCAAAATTTTTACTATTCAAATCCCAACTCAAAATCCAAACCCCCAAACAAACACACCCTAAATATTTGATTTATAGTTTAAATCAAGTTTTTATTATTTTTTAGATATATTTTAAATAAATTAATACTCCTATTCGGGCTTCTTATGCTATTTTGTCTAGGCATGGAGACTAAGAGATTTTAATATAAAATGGGATAAGTAAAAATTAAGACAGCAATATTATGATAAATTTATTAAAGAATTGATAAAAAAATATATATATAATCGGATATATTGAAAAGCTGGTGAATAATTGATTATTATTTGTTATAGTAAACATAATTAAATTGCATTGAATAAAATTATTTACTAGAAAATAGACTATACATAGGTTTACCGGACAACAAAAATAAAAAAAAGTGTCATAAGTATCCCAAATAGATGGAGTATTATTTAGATTAGATAGTTTATTATTTAGGCATATCTAGTAAATTAGTTTTGTCATTATTTAGACATAAGTACTAGATTAGGCTTGGCACTCTAAGTGGTGATAAGCTTTCTTTTTGGCTATAGGTTTTTCACTATCCAGAGCTTTCTATAGTTATTGTCAAAGAATGGTGAGTTATAATGTTGTTGAGATATTTTAGATATTTAGTTTTAGATTTGTTAGATTTAGATTTAGATTTGGTCATATCCATTAGATTACATTATTTATATTTGAGTCTATCGAGTTTGTTTTAGGTTGCCTCTATATAGGCTCTTTATTTTGATTATCAAGAATAAAAGCTTTAGAGTTTCCGCAAAATATTTTAACATGGTATCAGAGCTCTATGAATTTTTCTAGAGTTTTGTAGTCTTCTTCAAGCAGCCTTCATCGCTGTGTTTTGTTCTGGCCTTAATTGCTGTGAATTTTTCTTCTTCACTAAGTCATGTCTGAAACCATCTTTACGGGAAAGAATGATATGCCTAAACACTTTGGTAGAGATAACCATGGGAAAGAAAATAAAGACAATCTTTGGTGTACTTATTGCAAGAAACCTAGGCATACAAGGAATAAGTGTTGGAAGCTGAATGGTAAACCTCCAAGCCGAGAGTGGGGTTACCGTGAGGGGCAGCAGCAAAGGCCTCAAGCACATATGGCAGAGCAGCCCAATATTGAGGAAAATCCAGCAATAGGGGGGTTCAATAGTGAAGAATTTGAGAGATTGAGAAGTTTGTTGGGGTCTCTTGAGAAGCCTTTTGGAACATGTTCAATGGCTCTTTCAGGTAAATCTGTGTGCACGAATGTCTTAGACAAATTATGTACCAACTCTTGGATCATGGACTCTGGTGCTACAGACCATATGACCCCCACATCTCAACTCTTCCACACCTATACCCCATGTCCAAGTAATAGAAAAATTGTTGTGGCCAATGGTTCCTTAGCCACTGTTGCAGGGATTGGAGATATACATATCACACCTAGCCTTATCCTTAAAAATGTCCTCTATGTGCCCAAACTGTCAACAAGCCTTGTTTCCATTCAAAAGTTGACTCATGATCTTAAATGCTATGCTGTTTTTTGCTCTTCTTATTGTGTTTTTCAAGACCAGGACTCGAGGAAGAAGATTGGACTTGCTAAGGAAAAGAACGGTCTTTACCACCTTGAACCATTAAAAAACCTAAGAGTAACTTGCCTTCTTCTTTCCTTAGTTCCTCAAATAAAGATGCCATTTGGCTATATGTCATCCTTCGTTTAGGATTTTAAAATAATGTTTCCTCATTTGTTCCAAGGATTAGATATTTCTGAATTTCATTGTGACATCTGTGAATTGGCAAAACATATCTGTGCACCTTTTCCTATTAGCAATAAGAGAAGTTCTCATCTCATAATGACATATGGGGTCCTTCCACTATACCTAATGTTTCTGGGGCTCGTTGGTTTATGTCCTTAATTGATGATTGCACTCAGGTTACATGGCTCTTTCTTCTTAAACAAAAATCTGATGTTAGCATTGTTATACCTAATTTTCATTCAATGGTTCAAAATCAATTTGGGGTCAAAATAAAAAGCTTTAGGACAGACAATGCTAGAGATTATTTCAATCATATTCTGTCACCTTACTTTCAATCACAGGGATTATCCATGATTCATCATGTGTTGAGACACCCCAACAAAATGGGGTAGCTGAAAGAAAGAATATGCATTTACTCAACACCACCCGAGCCTTACTGTTTCAAGGAAATGTTCCTAAGTCCTATTGGGGAGAAGCCGTTCTTACTGCCACATATATGATAAATAGACTTCCCTCCCATGTGTTAGAAAACAAAAGCCCCATAGAGGCCCTTCATAGCTTTTACCCTCACTTCAGAACCTCAAATGGCCTCACTCCTAGGGTATTTGGGTGTACCGTCTTTGTTCATGTCCACAAACAACATAGAGGGAAGCTAGACCCTAGAGCCATCAAATGTGTGTTCCTCGGTTACTCATCCACTCAAAAGGGATACAAATGTCACAACCCCTTGACCAAAAAAATTTACATCTCTGCGGATGTCACTTTCCCAGAAAATAGACCTTTTTTCAAGTCCTCTCTTCAGAGGGAGATTTCAATGATGGAAGATAGTACTTGTGAGTCTTTCGAACCACTTAAAACCCTTGACCTTCCGCATGTGCCACCCCGCAGTCACTCAGAACAAAACCCTCCTCATGTTCCGGTTGAACCTGAGTCCTCTGAACCAGTCACATATGAGTCACCCAATCCTGTCACTGAACCCGTATCATCTCCTTCTCCAACCAGCATCACTCACAATTTTCCAAAGTTTCCTCAGGTGTATTCAAGGAGAAAGACCGTTCCTGAACTGACACAAGTCCAAGAATCCAATCCAAATTCTGAGAAAGAAATCACGGTAAGATCAGATCCACCTTTACACACACAATCTGTTGAACAGTCCATTGATTCAACTACTGTTCTAGATCTTCCCATTGCTGTTAAAAAAGAAACCAGAGAATGCACTAAACGACCACTCTATCCTATATCTCACTATGTCTCTTTTAAACGTCTATCGTCAGCCCAAAAGGGATTCATTATGAGTTTGAACACCATTGCCATCCCTCACAACGTGTCTTGAGGCATTGTCAAAAAGGGAATGGAGGGATGCTACGAGAGAAGAGATGAATGCATTAGAGAAGAATAAAACATGGGAGATCGTTGATAAACCAAAGGGGAAAAACATTGTTGATTGCAAATGGATATTTACATTGAAGTACAAGGCTGATGGATCCCTTGAAAGATATAAAGCAAGGTTAGTAGCCAAAGGATACACTCAAACTTATGGGGTGGATTATCAAGAAACATTTGCTCCAGTTGCAAAAATGAACACAGTAAGAATTTTGTTATCATTGGCTGCTCACTTTAATTGGCAACTGCTACAATATGATGTTAAGAACGCATTCCTCCATGGTGACTTAAATGAGGAAATCTACATGAACATTCCACCAGGATTTGAAGGGGACACTGGTAATAAGGTATGCAAACTGAAAAAAGCCCTTTATGGGTTAAAACAATCTCCTAGAGCATGGTTTGGCAGGTTTGCAAAAGTCATGAAGGAATTTGGGTACAAACAAAGCCAAGGTGACCACACGCTTTTCATTAAGCATTCAGCTGTAGGGGGAGTGACTGCTCTTTTAGTCTATGTGGACGACATCATAATGACTGGAAATGATGAGAAAGAGAAGCACGAATTAAAGCTGAAACTAATGAAAGAATTTGAAATAAAAGAACTACGGAAATTGAAGTATTTCCTCGGTATTGAGGTGGCATATTCCAGACAAGGGGATCTTCATATTTCAACAAAAGTACGTGCTTGATTTATTGGCAGAAACAGGAAAGATTGAGTGTAAGCCGATTTCTACTCCAATAGATCCAAACTATAATGTTATTGAGATATTTTAGATATTTTAAATATTTAGTTTTAGATTTGTTAGATTTAGATTTAAATTTGGTCATATCCATTAGATTACATTATTTAGATTTGAGTCTATCGAGTTTGTTTTAAGTTGCCTATATATAGGCTCCTTATTTTGATTATCAAGAATGAAAGCTTTAGAGTTTCCGCAAAATATTTTAACAGTTATATTTCTGGTTTTTGCTTGTTGCTAAGAGGCTCATCTCCTTTCAGTTGTGCTCCTCATTTCATCACAGTATAAATCCTTTATTATCCATGAAAGAGAGAGAGGAACAAAGTTTAATAATATCATCAGCGGAACAAAGAGCAACGGCTGGCTTGGCCTGACTTTCCTACATATCAAATCATCTCAAATTTCCTATGCAAGTAATCTTCACAGGGGCCATCAAGACCAAAACGCAACTCCGGTTCGTCAAAAAAGAGAACCTAAAACTATGCTAAGAGAACAAAATCACCCAATCTAAGTTGCAATTAATCCGTCAATGTTCTCTTCTTCACTACCAAGATTGCACATATTATTTTTCGAAAACATACCCTCCCAATAATACATAGTAAGGAAAACTTTAAAATATCTATCATTTATACCATCAAAACAAATGAGAAAATAAAATGGCTGGGCCAACAGTAAGCAGCATGAAGAGGTGAAACATACCCTTTGATACCAAATCATGCCATGAGTACTGAAGTTGCCGTAGACGTACAATAATTCTAGTCGGAGAGACAAGTGGTTTAATCTGACATGACAAATACTTTAATTAGATACATAAAGAAAAACAGTATACATATTAGTTTAAAATATAATAATAATAATAATAAGTCCAGGAAAATACTATGACTTACCTGAAGAAAGTAAGCAAATGTGAATTTGCCACCAAAGATCACCAACCAGTAAAAAACATAGCTGCATCAATCAATATGCATTCAGTATAACAAACAACAAAAATCTACAATAATATAGTAAATCCTTATATTAAATAAATCAACTTTTACTTTATATTATATATATATATAGTAACAACACCACAGTTGAGAGCGCCATGATAAAACTGTTACACCTTGGTAGCATGGTGAATCCTACTTCAAAACTGTATCATCCAGTACATATAAATAAAACATGAACCATTGAACTAACAGGGTAGCAGCAATCATGCTAACTGCATTATTAAAATTTTCAACAACTCCACTGCATCCAATCACTTGTTCCATTGGTTAGAATTAAGAAGGGATCTGGGCTTCCAACCTAAAACCAATTGGTGATAGGTGGAGTGGCCCTTCACCTTTATATAGCAGGGGAGTTCCCACATATTTAGCAATGTGGGACAATATTCAACACTCCCCCTCGACATGGTAATCTCGAAAATCCATACAGGATCCAAACCCAATACGGGCAACATGGCTCTGATACCATGTTAAAAAGGGATCCGGGCTTCCAACCTAAAATCAATTGGTGATAGGTGGAGTGGTCCTTCACCCTTATATAGTAGGGGAGTTTCACATATTTAGCAACATGGGACAATATTCAACAGTTAGTGCACCTACATGCAACATGCATTTCAAAACTTGTGGGGCATCTTAAAATATTATTTTGGGTTTGTTTACTTATGTTTTAAAGTGTTTCGGATTGTTTTAGGAATAGTAAAACTTCGAATGGACAATAGGTGTTCGCGTGATGGATTTTAATAGAAAATAAGTATTTGATTCAATGTTATTATGAGTGTTGGATGTGAAGCATATGGTACTGATTTCTGAAGGTATAAATGTTAGGCATATGGTGTATTGGTTACTGAAGGTATAAATGTGTCATTGAATCAGAAAAGTTTTCAGGGTTAAAATCTCGGGGCATCTATGGGCGTTGAAGACAACCCAATGGGCACAATAAGCTGACTTTGGAGGCTTGGATTTTGAGTTGAGATTTGAATAGTAAAAATTTTAAATTTGAATAATTGTATGATGTGATATAAATAGGTGTTGATGTGATGTTTTGAATGTAAATTTGATTTTTAGTATAATATAAAAAATAAAAAATGTGTTTGATTTGATGATTTTGGGGGGAAAAAATGGGAATGAACAGTGTATTTGGAAAAGAATCCCCCAAACAAACACGCCCTAATTTCATAACTATGAAATGAATTGTTTTTCAACAGCTATCAATTCTTCTTGCATAATATAACTAAGGATCCTATAATACGTTATTTTAAACAGAGTGCCTGTTACATGTTCGCAATCCACCCCTATACTTCAAACATGACCATATAAATAATTAAAATTAAAGGTTATGGATGATAAAAGCCTATAGTATAAAGTTATTGTGAGTTGTAACAGTGTCAAAAAAATAAGACAGACCTCATGTAGTCTGTAGGCTTTTCAACAAGTCCTCTACCAACAAAATACCGTTCCTGAAAGCAAACAAAATTCAAAGTTACATATATAAATATGCCATAAGAGGCAGCTCCAATGTACTTGTTTTAGATTCCCTAATCCCAAAGTGAAAATCCATTCCAAGTAGAAAAGCATAAAAGACATCATTTTGAACAAATCTCCAAAAGAAAGTATAGTGTTTCATCATAAACCCACCCAGACTGATGGTGAAAATATAGCACGGTAGATTTATTCTATGAAAAAAAGCAAAGCATATAATGCTATCAAAAGAATTTTTGAATTCCATCTATTGCATGATTATAGAACATATTATTCAGCTAGTTATGCCCAACAAAGAAAGCACATGCTAATAATGCCTAAGATTGAATACCTGATAAATCCACTTGAAAAATTGAAAAAATGATTGGTCGGACATTTCTGAAAGTCTGTGACATGCGGGGAATTTGACGAGCAAAGCGAAGAGGATGCGAAGAGCAGCGTATACACCAACTACTATGATATAAATCCGGAAATAAAATGAATTTGAGGTGGGATCGCTCCTTTCTTCCATAAGCTTACTAAACCAGTAGCACTTTTAAGTGAGAGACTAACATAAGGATGAAAAATAATCAAAGAACTTAAGTGAGATGTAGCCGCATACTCACATGTAGACATAAACTACAAACACAGAGCTCAAGCCCCACCAAAAGAACCTAATAACAAGCCTGGATACAGCCATCCCTCGAGCAGTAGTATAGGCCCCAAACATCAGTACAACATCCATAAAACCTTCATAAAGGCGCCAATTAAGAAAATAAGATGACAACTTAAACCACAGGAGTAGAGAAACAATAATTAGCGGATGAAAGAGAATAATGCCACATGATATAAATGCTTACTCTCTAAAAAATTCATAATAGCAACTGTTGGTCCAATGCTGATAAGTAATTTAAAGGTGTCAAGATTAAGATGTCCATCTTTGAAAGCAATAATAGTAAGAGCCTGTAGAAGTAATAGTTCATGAAAGTCATATTACACAGCGGACTTTAAAGAGAGCACAAGACATTTGAAAGTGTGTAATCAAATACCTGAAACATTACAATCAAAAAGATCCACAGCCTATGAAAACTTCGATATAGATGAAGGAAAGTTCGATGCTCAACAAATGAGCTTTTACCGGTCTGTGTTTGGAACCAAAGGACAAAGTAAAATACATGCACCAAACAAGTATAGAAAGCACAGTCATTTTAATTTAAATCCAAATATGAGAAATAAAAGCAATAGTGATAAATCAAAACAAACCCGTTTTCCCCCTTTAGGAATCAATAGAAATGGCGAATTCTTTTTCATGGGCCAACTCAACTCAAAGCAAGATGGTGTCCTACAAGTGAATTGAAAATAAATCCTAGATAAAGAAATATGAAAATAGTAGGGTAATTTCTAATGGAAAACAAACCAGAAATATTCATTGAAGTCATCATAATTCCGCCATTTTGAGTGTGCAGCTTTCCCATTGTTGTTATTTGCAGCTTCCTTAAGATGCAGAAAAAAAGGACAGACACCCAAACATGGTCAAGAAAATTCAGGATTTGAAAATTAAATTTGCAGTTCAATTTGAAAGTAGAAACACGGTCAACTGTCAAGCAAACTGTAGGTAATTTAATATCGTTCATTTCATATTGCAACCAGAAGAGAGAAAATTATAAATGGGAAACACTGAAAAACCAAAAAAATGCACTCACCGCTGCCATGGCCTTATATATGGGGCTTATGATTTCGTCTAAGAATGACACGGAACCATTTTCACTTGTACAACTGGCAGCATGAGTTGCCTCACCACGATCCAGGATAGCATCTAAATCTCTCGCCATCTAAGTATACATTTAAACAAACAAAAAATGAAGATGAAAATAAACAGCGTAGAAGTTATCTACTAGACTATATAATATGTTTTATCTAAGTAAAGAAAATATTGTGCATGGGGTGTGTAGAGGACCTAAATTACTTCATAAGATTTTATCTAAAGTAATATACTTTTTCACTGTATCCAAAAATCAATCATATTTCACCTATAACACCGAAAGATAGGTAGGCAATCAGGTCAGAGGAGAGGAATGGGTCAACTGGGATAGAAAGAATACCAAAAGAGTTGAAGGGACAAAGCAACAAACAAAGACCAAGGAAATCTAAATAGAAACTGATCATGCAGTGGGTGTGTAGATAACTTAAAACTACAGAAGATTTTTATCCATTAAGAAACAATTGTTCATTTTATGTGAAAAGCAATTAAATATCGCCAACAAAACTGAAAAGTAGATATGCAAATCAGGTTAGTGGAGAGGAATGGATTAACTGGTATCCAAAAAATACTGAATAAGTTAAAGATTATTGAAATTCAGACCAAACCAAAAGAAAGACTAATGAACTATTTACTAACAGAAAATGGTAAGTATCAGAAAGATGCCTCCAAATGACAGAAGAAATTCTGAACACAAGATTCAAAGATGACCTAGTAGTTGACAAACAAAGAAACATATACACATACATCAAAAACATACATGGTGAAATATGTAGCAGATACATTCAGGAAGAAACCGAACGTTCGCCGCTTCGCCCCATATGCATAAGTACAGTGAAACAAGGAAAAGCTTCCTGTCCCTGTTAATAGCTTCCAGGCTAATTGGACAAATTGAAACAGAGTTAGTCATTTAGTTGTATTTAACAGATAGCAGGAGTTGTAGAGAGAACCTATTCCACACAACGCGTTTCCTCAAGTATCTACACCATTTTATATAATTATCCAAGACCTTCAAGAAGACCTCTCGTACAGCCTTTTCATCTAGTTTCTGTGAAAAAGTATATTAAAACCCATTAAGATTCATATGCTATTGAAGTCCAATAGCTATGACTCGCATCATCCAAGTAAACCTAAATGTGCCACTCACTGGATTAGCCTCTTCTAGGGTGCCAAGTCGTGATTGTGCATTGGCCAAGGCCAGAATAACATGCTCACGTTGGTTCCTTACATTATCTTTCTGTAACAAGTAAAAATAGAAAATTACATCAGAAAAATTGAAAGGGACAGAAACAAACTATTATTGCAAACCATATTAACCACCAACACAAGCTGCATTTCTACTGAACACTTTCCATTTGCTAAATCTAATAGAAAATAATTTTAAAAATAACCAATGGCCTGGTCTCCAAGTTCTATCATTTTGTACTACTAATGGGAAAATAAAAAATTTACTAGAACTGATAACCAAACTCCAACTTCACTGAACCTAGAAGAATGAAGTAGGTTTCTATAATCAACAAAAATAAAGGATCACGAGAATGAATAATAACCTGAAAGCCAAACACATATTCCAAAAGGTCAAACATGTCCATATCCCGACGTTCAGGCTTTTCAAAATCAGCTGGAAGACGTGGAAACTGTTCAGAGTATCTTATTGATGACACTGCAGCCCTGATCTGCACAAGTTATTGAGTATGGTAAACTTAGAAGTAAATAACAGTTGTCATTTAAAGGTACAATAATACATATAATAAAATAAAAAATCTTAATAGTCATTGTTATCGTCAACTAATAATTACTACATATTGGTTATCTCACATTTGATATGCCTACTTTCATCATGATATAAAGCACCATTTTCTTTCTTTAGAAAATATCACTAAGTGTGTTTGTTTGGGAGTTCTAGATTTGGGTTTGAGGTTTTTAATAGTAAAATTTTAAATTGAAATAGTTTTCCGATTTGATATAAATAGATGTTGATGTGATTATTTGAATGTAGAATTAATTTTTAATGTAATATATTTAAAAATAAAAAAAATAAAAATAAAAGAGCTTGATTTGATTTTTTTGGGAGGGAGAGGGGCGAATTAGTGAATAGTAAAGGCAGGTCGGAATACCACAAACACAGAGAGCCTTTGTGATTGTGATTGGTGTTTTGCATGAAAAATGGGTGTTGGATGTGATTTTTTCAATGAAGAATAAATATTAAATAGTAAAAAAAAAATAGAAAATATATACAAAAAAAGAAAACAATAAAAGAAACAAAAGAATACATATAAAACGCACTTCTCTGATGAGCAAACAAAACCCTATAAAGGATTCATAGATAGTTAAACCTAAAAAAAAGGAATAAGCATCTATAATATGATTAACATCCACTTACTTCTGGAAAGTATCCAATAGCATTGGTAAAAGATGGTGCTTCTAGAGGGACAATGTTGTACGGCATGAGCTCAGCCGATAGAGTTGCATCAGACTTTTTTATCCTCCTTAACTGGAAAAACCAACAACAGTATCAATCATTAAGGGACATATTCTCACTAATGGTTCACAAAAGAAAAAAATGAGCAGCACTGACAATCCCACGTAAGAGAAAAGTCAGAAAATAACTAAGAACACAATTAGGAAGAAGGCAGAGAGGATACCTCTTCCTTAATTAGCCTCCCAACCCCATCTGGAGGTGCATCTTTGCTAAGTGCCTCCATCACCTCAACCAATGCCCTCAATGTGGCAAATACTTTCTTCATTTCTCCAATCCTATGTTGAAAGCTGAAACAGGTGCAAAAGCAAAACTAGTAAGGTAGCCATTTTGTATTGGTAGGATAACTAATATCAGCTGGATCAGAAATAAGAAGGAACCATTGGTGTACAAGTACAATTACAAAATATTAAGACTTAAGAAAATGATGTCAGAAGAAATGATATGGATAACGTAAAGGCCATTCAAGTATGCTATTAAATAAGTGAAAAATAAAGGAAGGTAGTATACACTCTTTAGAAAGGAATGACCAGATAGAAGGAGAGCATACAGAACCTCGGCACACAGTTTTTTCTTTTTTCTTTCGTTTCCTAGGAAACTAAGCTGTGGCTGAAGAGAGAGTAACAGCAAGATTGAATCATGCCAGGGCACATAATGAGAGGACAGCTTAATAGATTACAGCTAATAATAATAACTAATAATTATTACTTAATGTGACAGGTTGTTCATCTCCATATGAAAAGCCTTGTTATGCTAAATTGGTTTAATTTGCATCCTTGGTTTTATTTCTAATCATTACTACGCATGGTTTAAAATCATTATGAAATCACTAGTGGCATCAGCAAGAACAAATAAATAATAATTATAAATAAAAGATTAAGCTAAAAATAACGCACTCTCCCATATTGGCACTGAGAGGACCAGATTCACGCCATTTACGCTCCTCTCTCTGGATATCATCCACTCTATGTTGTCTTTTATATTGCAGATAAAATTCCCACAACCGCTCAATATCACGACTACGGTCTATTTCAGCACCACCCTTCTTTGCAAGCTTTTGCTGCAGCAGACAGTGAAAATGATAGATCATTAAAATGGGATTACATATTAGAACAGCCTAAAAAAGGTTTCAAATCAAAATGCCAAGGCAATAAATCAAATAAACTGGTAACTGGTGGAAAACGACCAATTTGGCAGCAAGCATCCGGTGTAGGAAAGAAATGTAGAATCATTATTGTTCTAGTTGTGTTTCAGTTATGGTGTGTTCGTTTATAAAATTATACCGGATTTCTACAATTCACCAAAAAAATATCCCCCAAAACATTAAATTAAACACCTATTTTTTATTTTCTATATTATATTAGAACTCGATTTTATATTCAAAACATCACATCAATTCCTGTTTATATCACGTCATACAACTATTCAAATTCAAAATTTTTACCATTTAAATCCCAACTTAAAATCTAAACCCTCAAACAAACACATACTTAATGTTCAACATCACTAACCTTCAGTTTTGCAACAGGAAATATACAGCCATATTGACAATTACTTTATGCCCAACTTAAATTTTGGAATTCAATCTCTCTTGTGAGACTTTCCAGGGTTTTGGAGGTTCTTTGGAGCAGGATTTAAATAATCAACCAAATTCTAAACCACTGTACCTTGATCACAGACATTAACCCAGTCTTAAACTGCAGAACACCTCTTCCATCGCTGTTGGGGTCCAAATTCTGAGCCATTCCATATGCCTGCTCACACACTTAAAGGAGAGAAAAGAAACATATGTAAAAGAACTACATAAACTTATATTCTGGCATGAATACATAGTTACACTCTTCAAATAACAAAAAGAGGGGTTTGCTTCCTTAAATAACTGGTTTCACTGTTTAAGGATAAAAACATTTCACAGTTTTGACTTCTTATAAGAAATGGTTCAAGACTATTTCTTCCATCTTGGCAGTTCAACCTTTTACAACAAAGGTGGACAGCCATAAGAATTTTATAAGTAAAAGATATAAACCTTCCACAAAATTAACAGCACCTATTATCATTCATCCCCACTTCGACCTCTCATGTTTTAGCTTCTACATTGTTAAAGTTAATCTACTTACTTTGCTCTTTCTTATCAAATTAGTATCAGAAAGTACGTTCCACTCTATGCCAGTTTTCAATATCTTTGGGGTGGAATTGATGCAAACATTAATACAAACCTCATTCACCTACACCAGGGTCAGATCACAAGGATCTCGAAGAATAAGTTTTTAAAAGCAGCAGCTTCACTGATTCAGTCGATTGTAAGGAACTGGCAAAGAAACTTTGAGGGTATAACGGTACATCTAATTATCATGAGGATGATAATCTATATGTCCGGAGGCAAGAAAGAAACTGCCAATACCATCATCATCATCATCATAGTCTGAGTGTATCCAACAACATAGACAGTTACCATTAAATTTGATCAAGGATCATATTCTTGTCTAGATAAAAATATAACATCTCTTTTACTAGTTTTCTCCTGATGTACTCTAGGTGTTTGCTTTCCACTTCTAACACACCCAAATAGTTAGCCCAGCAGCTCGTGATCTCCTAGGCCCACATTCACATCATTCAGACCGCACTTCTTTCATTTTCATCACAAATAGTTCGCGCAGCAGCTAGTGATCTCCTAGGCACACATTCACATCATTCTGACCGCACTTCTTTCATTTTCATTACATACGGAGGAGTAACACTTCTTTCCTTATATTTAATTTAACATCCCCACACATTCATAGCAACATGCTCATCCTCCTTTCAACTACCCTTATTTTTGTTTGTGTTCACACCTCATTTCCCAATATTCCAATCTTATAGATATTGTATGAAATTTTCAGTTCAATTTAGGACCTCCAAATCTACACATACACCTTAACTAATAAAACATTGTTATATATATATGTGTGTGTGCGCGCATATATGTATGTGTATATATTGATTAGTTGCCCCAGTCTTCTTTGATTGATCTTATTATAACAAACTTTTTAATATCTGGGTCCCACTCGACAATTCACACATTTATCCCAGCATCACCCCTGTATTCAATATAGTGGCACTTCGCCTACTTAACTTTTGAGTCAAATACCTTCTTACAAAGTTCTAAAACTACAATCTTCTCTTCCTCATATTATTGATCAAAATTATACTTCTGCAAACAACATAAATTATGGGATAGTGTTTTCGCAAATGTTTAGTATCGTCAATGATTAAAACAAACAGGTATAGACTAAATCAACTATTAACAAAATTAGATGAACTTTATTAGTGTTTTGCAAATCTATACAATTTTGCATCTCACTTACATGACTTGATTAAACTGAAACCCTTAAAGAGGTCATAAAAGAATCAGTTCTGCTGGTTTTCAGTCCTTTGACATCAACTAAACCATTTCATTTTTATCATGTACATTCATAATGTGTTAAATCTCTAATAATTCTATTTCTCGTAAGTAACTATTTTATTTAATATATAGCTATTTGAAGTTTTTTAGTACTCAGCCCTTAATAAAGATATTTGAAAAGACTTAGATTTTAATTATTTAGCTTTACCTCCATGACAGTTCTATTTACTTTAAGCATTTTGATTTTATATTTTCTTAAAGTTTTTTGGTTTTACAATGACAGCTCTTTGATCTATTTATCGCCCTTTCTATCTCCCAAAACCCTTTTATGGATTATTTAAATGATTAGTTACAGGATTTCAGGTGATCTATATTGCTTTTTCCATTTTCCAACTAACAGTTTCTAACAAAAGTTTTATAAAATTATATTGGCTTCAATTTTTATGTTCCCAGCTTGAACTTAGGTATGTTGGCAACTTTGTTTAATAGTTAAACAAAATATAAGATCCATCTACTACATTATGCTGCAACGCGAAATCAACCAACCTTATTATGCTTTCGTTACCCTACCCACATGTCCATTTAATCTCCTCATATAATAATTTTCTTAATTCAATGGTTTGGACAACTATTCTACAGCTTCCCAAATTTTGCTTTTTGCATATTTGTGTAGTTCTATTTGGTGTATATCTAGTTTAGCAACTTTCAACCAAAATATTGAGTGTTTTCTTAAGAGGCTCATGCTCCCCACTCACCACTTGAGAAATGAAATGTGGCCTAATCCTTTACTTACGCCATCTCACATCCCCATTTAAATTTCCTCATATAAGAATTTTCTTCTGACAGTTAGAACTGCAGTTTCTACGGCTTCCCAAATGTACGCTACATGTTTGTCTAGTCCTATGTGGAGTGTATAAGAATACTACTGCAAATGTCAACCTAAAATAGAGCACTTTTGGAAGAAACCATGCTCCCCGCTAACTGCTAGTCAGAGGTTTGCAGTCGAATCCTTTATTCTTCAAACAGTTTAGACTTGCTCAGTCGAAGATTTCTGCACTTTGAGATCTCATGTGACTTTTGCTTCAAGAAAGTCCATCCATATGCTTGTTAGTTTCAACTTAAGTTCAACTGCTAATGGTGCAGAATTTCCAGTCAAAATCACACCACAGATCCAGATAACCATACATTTTACCAAAACATCCCCATTGTCTATGGCATGCACCCTTGTGCATAGAGCAAGCTAGTTTAGAATCTTAAAATGTGTCTACCGCTTCTCTTATACTATTATTCTTAACTTTACTAACTCGCGCTAGCAAATTGCAACTTCAACACCAATGTAAGTGTTCTTGAATATAAGTTTAAAATAAATTGTACTGACTATTATCATGTAAAATTTGTTTATATATTATATTTTCATATAAACTATCTGGACACAAAAGCATATTTCATAATGAAACTTTACGTCAAGCACCATAACTCCGAGAAATCCTATGTCCCATGACACAGCATGCTACATTAATGACTATAGGCAATTTGCCTCGCAGATTCTAAAAATAGCTACATGGATGATGCAATTCCAGTTCCAGATCGATCAACGACAACAAGATCAAATTTTATCGATCCAACCATCTTGCATCACACCTTCACCTCATTGAAACAACTAGACTAGACCTCTACCGGCGAATTTACCACAAATAATATTCCAAATGCTTCCTTGAACCAGAGTAATTACCCAAATTACACACAACAACAAAAATAATAAATTAGGCCTGTTTGGTTCTACGATTAGTTCATTTTCATCACTATTCTTATCTAGTAACAAATTTTCTACAGCAAAGCTATTTTTTTCATTCAACTCATAACATTTGGCCACCCCTACACATGTTTTTAATTCAAACCAAATTATTAGTTCCAAATTTCAATTTTTCCAAAACACCACAACTTAAACAAAATCCAAGTAAGCATATAAGGAAAGTGCCACTACATAACATTAAACTCAATAATCAGCCCTATCCACCTCACAGGAAAAGGCAAAGGATATTCAAAAACAAAAGCTTGTTTCAACACATTTTCAAATCTCAATTTTTTTTATTTATTTAAAATGTTACATCAAAACCTATTTTCTATATTAAAAAGAAAATCATATACAACAATATTTTCGACATCATATACCCCATTTTTTATAACTTTTTACAGTCACATACTTCTCCAAAGCTCCAAAATACTAACGAAATATCATATGCCTAAATACAACCAAAGTACCATGATTCTTCAATCAGAAGTAAATCCATGAAACAAAAAATAAAAAGGAAACAAGCACACAAACATCATTTCACTTACATATCCTAGCAACATTCGGATCCTCCAGCTGAATCTCATCCGCCGCCTGCAGAATCGCATTAATATTGGTGCTCCGCTGGAGCGAATCCGGAACAGCGCCGGCGATCCCGCTGCCGGTCCGGCCATGTCCCCCCCGCAGCACCGCGCGCACCAACCTCTCCCAATTGCTGGAAACCCTAGCCATGATTCTTCTGCAGTGCACCCAACTAACTGGAAACCGAAGTGGGCAGGCTCAACCGAACTTGAAGCAAAGCAGTGCGTGCAAGCTCCGCATCTGAGATTTTTCTCGTCAGACGCGTCGTGGAGTGAGTCCAACGCGCTAGCTGGAACGAAGATGCAGAATTCGAATTCTTGCTGCTTAGATTGGAGCTGGGTCTGGGTCTGGGTCTGGGTCTGGGTGTGTGCTTATGCGGGCAGATAAGAGTAGGACTTTTTATAGTGGCGCCCACAAAAGGAAGAAAAAGCGGCAAGATTCCTTGCTGAACCGAAACGGAGTCCAAATTCTTCGCTGCCGTGTGTGTATTTTAACTTTTCAACTCCACAATTTGAATAAATCATGTGTTTGTTTGGGTGTTCGGATTGAAATATAAATAATAAAAATTTTGAAGCATATAATACTGATATAAACAGGTGTTTGATGTGTTATGAATGTAAAATAATTTTTTTTAGTATAATATAAAAAATAAAAAATAAGTATTTGATTTGATATTTAAAAAAAAATATAATAAAAAGAAATTGAATGAATAATAAAATTTGGGAAAAATTCCCCCAAACAAACACATTATAGGGTGGGCTAAGGAATTGTAACTTAAGCATTAATTAATAAACCCATTCCAAATTAAGAATAATGTGAACGTTTGTTTTATTATATATATATATATATATATATTATATATGCGTTCCTATACGGCTCCAATACGGTGCTGAACTATAAATTCAGCATAATGTTAAATTAATTATGACAATTTAATTATAAATAGATAACTATTCCTATTAATTTACTGGATAAAATTATTATTTTGTCACCAAATTTAAAAAGACATAAAATTAAACTACTATAATTAAGGAAAATATATAAATATATAGATCATCTTTTATTTTGTAGGATAAATCATTATAAATAATAAAAATTTGTTTTTTTCTCTTGATTTCGTTTAATCGAAGTATATAATCGTCCAAACAAATCAGCATTGTTCAACACTGTAGATTGAATTGAAAAAAAAAAAAAAAAAACCGACATATTTCAAAATGATATGAATGAATATTACATTCAGAGAACATTGAATCCCTATAAATTTTGATTTCGAAAATAAATTTTTAAAAATTGTTTTTTGTGTATTATAAAAATATCATCTTAAACAACATAAGCGATCATTTCGGTAATAGATGTTCAGCTTATCATCTATTTTATTTTGAGATATTAGCAAATATGTTAGTTTGTCAGTTATAATAATTTTCAAAACACATAAAAAAAATTACCGAGATTCTATACTATCTTTGTTTGTCATTCTTACAAACTTCACAACTATCATATTAAAAAATATTTTAAAAAATCATTTATTAGCATTTTTAAAACTTTTTTATATTTTTTATTTTCAAAATTTTCATAAAACTTGACCTTCAAATGGAATTTCACAAAAATTCTTTGAAAATCTATGATCATCATAAATAAATAAATCAATCAATTTATCATCATAAGTTAGAAAAATATTAAACTTATTAATTAATATACTATAGACGCCTATGGTTTAGAATTATAGTTTATTTTATTTATATTAATTGAAGAAACTAATATATATAAATATATATTTTCAGAAAAAAATTTTGCCCGGAAACTCGAATAAGCTTATTATTATAAATATTGTTTGTAAATAAAATTGATAAATTGTAATATAGTCTTAGGGAATAACATTATTTTCATACTGGTAATATAATATATTTCGATATTTCTAAAAGTATTTTACATTGTTGAATACATCATATTGTATAACAATTATCATCTACTCCTGTAGACTACTATGATTAGACAACCGCAACTTTTTCAAGTCCCGACGTAGTATACAAATTATATTGTGAGTATGCTTAGCGGCGAAACCAGAACTCGAATAAAGAGGGGGATAATTTTTTTTTTAGAAAATTCGATATATCGAAAAATCGGTATGATAATATATATTGATATCGTATCAAAATTTTAATACAATATCGATATATACTATTTCATACCCAAATACTAAATTTAAAATAATAATTTTGGTATCAATATATTGAATTATTTGTATATACCGAATATTAAAATATCAAAATTATTTTAATATATACTGAAAATATCAAATTATATTTGTTGCTTGTACTAAAAAAAATTCAACATGACATTAAATCATACCGAAAATTTTGATATACTAAAATTAGGTATTTTTTTATAATAAACAAGTAATAAAAATTTTTGGTTCAAAAAATTCTTATATACAAGAAATTTTATATTTTTTTTATTATATATAATTTAAAAATCATATAAATAATTAAGGGGTGGGATGAGGAAGGGGGTTTGGAGCCCCTTGCCCCATGTAATTACGCCACTGAATATGCTCATATGCGGGGGTTTTATGTTCGAATCAAATGCAGAAAAGATCGAAAAATAATCCTGAATGTTTGCAATATATCCAGTGTTGCTATAATAAGGAGGAAAAAATAGTAAATTTAACATAATAATACAATGCATTGTTCGGAGAACATTGATGCTCCATTATATGATAAAATGATAAAAAAAATGTACAAGACATGTACGTGATATACTGCAATATTTGTGTATGATTTTATAATTCAACATTTTATAATTCGATGTACAATATATCCAAATATTTATTGTCATCTTTTTATCTTTCAATTAGCATAATATAATATGTCTTATATAAAAAGTTAAATAATATTATATAAATTAAATATCATGAATTATGGGTCCTAATTAGCTAAATTATAATTACATAAATTAATGGTCATAATTGTTATAATAGAAAAGTTAGTATTAATATTTTTTTGTATTTATGTATTTTGTAGCCTATTATTAAATTGTAATGATATACTACCTCCGTCCGACTCTAATGGTTTCATTTACTTTTTACGTGTTAATATTTGAATATTAATTATTATATCAAAACGTAGTACAAACTAAGAAAAAATTGCAAAAATACTTCCATTAGTGTCTTATAATACTAATAGAAGGACATTTGTACACAAAATTATACAAATATAAGGATATTTTTAATATTAAATACAATAACACAAACTGTAAACGTGACCCTCGGAGGCGGACGAAGATAGTATAAATTAATTTGATATATGATATGCATATATTGTCAAAAGCATTAAAAATATAATACTATATTTTATTAAAAAATTATATAAAAATATATACTATATATTCTATGATCAATATATATATTCTCACAATTTATTTTTTTAAAATAATTATTTTAATTATAGATAAAAGTATGTATTAATTTATTATATTAAAACATGAAAAATATGCGGCATATATATTAATATGGGGGAAGATTAGGGTGCTAAATTTGGAAAATCTCTCCAAATCGGTACAGATCTTTATTATATGTAGTATGTGTTGTTTGTAATAAAAACATATGTTATTAGTTCAATAAGGTATTAAAGTATGTCATGTGTTAAATCAAATATTGTATGTGCTGTGTTGTTATGTCATGTGTTGTATTTGTATTATATTAAAGTATATTGTGTGTCGTTTATGGTACCACACGTTGTACATAATTTTGGACAAATAAAGACATCATCTCGTTAAATATAGATAAATTCTTAGCATAATTTTTTATACACATGTGACAGTCCATACACCGTAGCAAATTTGTTGTTGGTCAGTACCAATTAATCTTTCCCATTAAAAAATATAAAACCATCTCGATTGACATCTTAGTAACTCGATATTTTAAAAATATGTTCTACACTCATACTCATTGGATCCACAAACAATAACCCCTTAAAACATGTTTTCCTAATGAATTACTTCAAGAAATCACCATTTGAATGAAAAATCTCCTGATTGTTTATGTCGATCACCTTATTGGACACACATGGAAATTCTGTGAATACGGTTCTCGTGATCGTGGACTTCATCGAATTTTCAATATCTCTCTATATTTCAGCCATTGAAATTGTCTAAGAGATCGATTAAGACAAAGAAATTGAAAATTTGCACGTAGTGGAAAATTGAATCCGGATGGTGAGGAAACACAGCGGCGGTGGATAACATCATAGACGATACTGATAGCGACGGAATCAGAAGGTGAGGGATCTCGATTCGCGGTGTCGAAGGATATGAGAGGTGGGGGTGGTTGAACTTCGGCGATTTTTTTGCGACGGGACGACTGAAGGTTTTTTGGGCGCGAGACAAGCGATAGGATTTTGGGGCTATAAGTCGGTGGGGAAGGAGGGAAAATTAAATTATGTTAATTATGGGGAAGATTACGATGCTGAATTTGGAAAAATCAGCACACGTAAGATATAGAAACAACACACACATTTATTATATACAACATATACTGTTTGTAATTAAAATATGTGTTGTTAGTTTATAATATAACGTGTGTTGTATGAGAGTATGTTATATGCTAAATCAAGTATTGTATGTACTGTGTGATACTATATTATGTGTTATTAGGTCATGTGTTGTATTTGTATTATATTAAAATATACTGTGTGTTGTTTATAGTAACCCCATGTGCTGTCACATGGTGTGTTATTCAGCACAGTGCTGAATATTACATTCGGCATTGTAGTCGCCGCCGTTAATTATTGTTTGATTTTTCTTATTTTGATTTTTTTATTTTTTTAATTATTGAAGGTACTCAATTTTGTAAATTAATTGTGTTATATAAAAAGAATAAAATATAATATAGAATATTTTAACAAAATGTGGTAAGAAATATTATATTATATGTATTATATAACAAATATTTTTGTAAATAATTATGATTTATTTTACTAAAACTTGTTAGATATATTATGTATAGGGGTATTTTTGTATTTATAATAGTATGAGGGCGGTTTAGGTATTTTGTATAGTTTTAATATATTAGGATTTTATATATTGTAAAATCATTTTTTCTTTTGATGAATATAATAAAAATATACAGCGATATTCTTCATGGTATCAGAGCCACCGTGATCCCGTCATCCACCCTAATCCTGCCGCGCCGCCCGCTGCCGTGCCGCCCACCGCCACGCTGACCGCTGACCGCCGCACCACCTGATGCGCTGTCTTCTCTTCTTTCCTTCCGTCTGTTGTCTGTCAAGGTTGTTCTAATTTCTCCTCTTAAGTTGGATTGTTATTAAGTTGTGGCTTAGATTTCTCTTCAATTCAAATATTGCCCAACCATGTCTGCTTCTT